AGATTATGTCTCTTACAGTGGACATGCACCTATGATGACAATTTCAGACCCCTCCATGATTTCTAAGGGGGAGAACTTATTTAAATTCTTATTGTATGCTGCAAATACTGCATTGTATTAGTGGACGTCAGTTAGTAGCTTAAGTAGTTAGAAGTGCTACGCTAGAGAAGGCTATAATTAAATCCAATTATGCAGAAAATGAATCATTAGGTTCCACTGAACGTAAGGTGCCCTGCTCTGCTGGAAAAACTGCATATTAAAAGTACACACTGTCTACGTAGGATATGCAAAACAACATGTTCTAAAAGAGGTGCAGCTGGTACTGTAAAGGGTGTTGTGCTCTTGTTCTGGCATCTTCTCTTGGCTCTCCTTTTAATTCTGTTGTAATAGAGAACATAACACCGTGGGATTCACTCAGCTGGAGCGTCTTACCTTTTCACCAACCGGGACCCACGAGGAGCCTCAAGGCTCCTTCTACTCCACAATAGCGGCAATAAAGCAGCCCTTTGGCGATAAGGAATGTTCTCTAGATCTAAATCTGAATGTCCACATTTCAGTGCAAAATCTCAAATATCATGCAGTGGATGCAGGACTCCAACATAGAAAGGCTCATCTGCACAATAAGGAAATATGCTTGAACTAAATATATTTCCTTGAATTCTTAGAAGTGAGAGGTTATTTCTAAATAGCAGTGACTAACTCATTAAGTGTTCTTACCCGACTTCATGCCTACTTGCCTCATCCGTGAACTAAAAATCCACTTGTTCCTTCAGTGACTTTTTAAAATCCCACAGCTGTGAGAAGATTAAGAATTTTACTGCACAAACTAACCTCATCAAGTAAAACACACAAAATCTATTAGTCTTAAACACTGATTCAGAGAAACTTCCAGCTGACAAATAAGCTCTATTTGTTTCGATATATGACACAAAAGGATCTCAATAAAATATAGGAATATATGCAGCTTTAAATCAATTTAGTCTAAATTTAAAAAACCAAAGCTGCCTTCCATTGAAGGCAAACCTGTTGCATAACGTTTGCATTAATGGTCTCACAGCAAACCATCCCAGCAGATCATCCTTCCATACAGCATCACCAGCTAAAAAAGTGTTTTAATAACAGCTTAATGAAGTGGTAACCAGCATGTTCTGTGGAACAAACAGGAATGTTCCACAATTTTTCTCTTCAAATTTCCGACATTGCTTTTGAAAAACTGCGTTTTTTGTTTTTAAGTTACGGCTGAAAATTTTAAATTTAATAGTACTGATGATGAAATAAAAAAAATAAATTCAGACGTTCATTCAATTGTGCTGCCATGCACTGGAAAATTTAAATATAATTAAGTCCACTCTTCTTGAAATAAGTTTATTTGAGGAGGTCAGGAAGGCAGTTTGCCAATGGAATTAGATAATAGATTATTACCAGAATAAATAAACAACTCTATTATCTTATTTTAAGTGTATTCTTATAGGAATATATCTTATCATATTTAATCATCTTATTTTAAGGGCAGAAAGACGTATTTCATTGGCAGATAATTTATTCACCTGCAAAAATCAAGGGTAAATACACAAAACTCTTTTTTTATTTATAGATGAGTTTTTACAGTGTACAGTTCTCTTCAGGCTTTCTCCTTTAACTTCACAAAATAAGTGATATTTAAAGTAACTTTTTCCTTCTTATTTTACCTTATTGTGCTGCGACTGCCACTATGTGTACAGCTGCTGCTACACTGCAATTTCCCAACTTATAAATAAAGTGAGTAAATAAGTAAGTAGGTAATTAAGTATTAAGTAAGTAAGCCAAAAGTATAAGCAAGTATAAGTCTAAGTAGTAAGTATAAGTGAGTATGTGTAAGTATAAGTAGGCTAAGTATAAGTTTAAGTAATTATAAGTATCAATATATGTGTGGGTAAGTAAATATAAAGTATAAGTAAGTATGTCTGAGTAAGTAAGTATAAGTAAGTATAGGTTTAAGTAAGTATGAGTAAGTAAGTATAAAGTATAAGTTTAAGTAAGTATAAAGTGTAATTATAAGTGTTAGTAAGTAAGTATAAGTATAAGTAAGTATCAGTATATGTGTAAGTAAGTATAAAGTATAAGCAAGTATAAGTGTAAGTAAGTATAAAGTATAAAGTATAAGTGTAAGTAAAAATCAGTATATCTGTAAGTAAGTATAAAGTATAAGTAAGTATAAGTGTAAGTAAGTATAAAGTATAAGTATAAAGTATAAGTGTAAGTAAGAATCAGTATATCTGTAAGTAAGTATAAAGTATAAGTAAGTATAAGTGTAAGTAAGTATAAAGTATAAGTATAAAGTATAAGTGTAAGTAAGAATCAGTATATCTGTAAGTAAGTATAAAGTATAAGTAAGTATAAGTGTAAGTAAGTATAAAGTACAAGTATAAAGTATAAGTGTAAGTAAGTATCAGTATATCTGTAAGTAAGTATAAAGTATAAGTAAGTATAAGTGTAAGTAAGTATAAAGTATAAGTATAAAGTATAAGTGTAAGTAAGAATCAGTATATCTGTAAGTAAGTATAAAGTATAAGTAAGTATAAGTGTAAGTAAGTATAAAGTATAAGTTTAAGTAAGTATAAAGTATAATTATAAGTGTTAGTAAGTTTAAGTAAGTAAGTATAAGTATAAGTAAGTATCAGTATATGTGTAAGTAAGTATAAGTATAAGTAAGTATAAGTTTAAAGTACAAGTATAAAGTATAAGTGTAAGTAAGAATCAGTATATCTGTAAGTAAGTATAAAGTATAAGTAAGTATAAGTGTAAGTAAGTATAAAGTATAAGTATAAAGTATAAGTGTAAGTAAGTATAAGTTTACGTAAGTATACGTTTAAGTATGTATAAGTAAGTAAGTATAGGTTTAAGTAAGTATAAGTGTACGTAAGTTTAAGTAAGAAAGCAAGTCAGTCAGTCAGTCTTTTTTCCCAAAATGTAAAAAAGCTAGGAACAGATACCCAAAGAGCTATTGTGTTTTTTTTTTTATATCACTTCTTTGAAATGTAGAGTTTGGAAGGAATTAACTGAGAAATTTGCTCTCAAACAAACTGTCAGCTTAATATCAGTCCTTTATGCAGAATGATGAGTTTTAAACAAAGTGAAAGCCTATGCAGTTAGGACACAAAAAAAGAAAAGAAAAACAAAACAGCATTTAGGAGATTTATTTAAAACAAGGACATCTAGCACTGAGCCCAGCTCTGGTGTGAGGGAAATGCCGCTGGTTATTTAGGTGATGGACCCGGAAAACTCTGATTTTATGGCACACGACGCAATACTAACTAATGTAACTCTACTTTAATATTATCGGTTTAATAATAGTTAGTTTGTTTTGAGCAGATTATTAACCTTTAAAAACCAAAAACTGTTGCATTTTTAACCAATAAGATTAACATAAAATTTCCAAAACTATTTGCTTATATGAAAGTTATCAATTATTACTGCAAAGTTAAGTTAATAAAGCTGTGATACAGACAATGTAGGGCTGAAACAATAGATTGAATAAGTAAAACATGCTAGCTAAAAACTAAAATAATTAACTATTCAGACCTGTAATTCTGCCTAATTTGCATTAAAATGAAAAATCTATCTAGAACTCTTCAAGTTTTTCAATTCTTTAAAAAACATAAATAAATATAATTGCAATTTCGTTAGCATTAAACTGAGTTTTTTAATGTTTTTTCAACTTAAATTAAAAATGTGTATTGCTGTTTCTATTTTTGGTAAAAAAAAATTGTTTATCAAAGGAATTTATCAAAGGTATCTAATTTTGGATTAATGGATTAATTCAAAAAATGATCAATAGCTGCAGCACTAATCCAATCAGAAGAAGCATAAATCCATACTGAGGTCAGTGACAGTGTGCCGTCAGGGTGAAAATGTTGATCAGGTTTTATCATATGATTTAATTTAATCGTTAATGAGGTAAGCCTACTGCCAAAATTACTTAGTTTTCAGATGATGAATCCTTTCTCCGGACTACATCCCCCAGAATGCTGTGCGGTTCTGGATCAGAGTACAGTAGATGTATAAAGCATTCTATTGGACCAATTCTTATATTGGGTGTCTATTGGTAAACATCTCTATATTGCCTTAATGCCCTGCCTAAAATGTTGAATGTTGGACCTTTTTGTTCAGTAAAGCTTGTGTTTTCTAGATCTACATTGAGTCAACAATGCCCCACATTTATCAATGCAAACAACCTGATGCAACTAAAAGCATCACAGGAATGTCAATAAACAGCTCAGGAAGGAGGCCTGCTTTGACTCCCAGAGACAAACATGAACATATTCTGGGGAAGAAGGATCACTTATAGATGCATCTTAGATTTCTGAAACTGTTTCCATTCATTGTTGCTTTTAGGCTGGATTACTGTAACATGCTCTTTTTTTAGTGATATGTCCATTAGGTGCCTTTAGTTTCGTACAAAACGCTGCGGTGAGACTTCATAATGGAAAAACAGATTATTGTATATTGACTGCAAAAATGTTCTAAAAATACGTACAAGTTTCCTAAAATAAACGTATTCAATCTCCTAATTTCAGTAGGTAAATAAGATGATTTGCTGATGGAATGAGTATTTTTACCATTCAAATGAGACCATTAGATATTATGCACCTGAAATAAGAAAGTGCAGTTGTGTTTTTCTTATTTTATAAAAATTGACTTACTTATATTTAAACGTTTTGCAGTGTTACTCCCATTTTAACCCCACTTGGTTTGCCACCTGCATGGATCAGGATCTACACAAAATGTTATTTTATTTGCTTTGAAAACTTGTAAAGAATGATTTTGTTTCTCATTTAAACACAAATGTAACACATTAGAATTACATACTGAAAATAACTCTCCTTATACAATAAATATGCATACAACGTAGAAGGACACATTACTAACAATACTGACAAGAGTCATTGAAACAAAGACAATGACTTTATGCAGAGAGTAAAAAGAAAAGTAATATAATAACATGACTTCAGCAAGAAATGAACCCAACAGGCTCTTCAACAAGAAGACCTCTCCCTGACACATACCTGAACCAGCCTCCATGACTCAGCAATAATAGCAGCCTGAACTCTGTTGAGGGCAAAGCCATCTATCTCTTTCTTCAGAAGGACCGGTGCCTGGCCGACCTGAAAGAAAATAAATATGGATCTCAGGTATATGTAAAAAAGAGATGAAATCTCTTGGGTCGGTCAGGTTGCCCCTGGCGATATAGTCATATATTTATAAGTATTTTTTTATATAATATATAAATTGTTGCCCTGCGACAGACTGGTACCTGTCCAGGATGTATATGTATATATACACTACCCTTCAAAAGTTTGGGGTCACATTGAAATGTCCTTATTTTTGAAGGAAAAGCACTTTACTTTTTAATGAAGATAACTAGTTACTTATAAACTAGTCGCAGAGCAACAATATATATATATATATATATATATATATATATATATATATATATATATATATATATATATATATATATATATATATATATATATATATATATATATCATAAAAAAACAAAAAAAACGTATAAATATAGAACTATATCACCAGGGGCAACTCGACCGACTCTAGTCTGGGACCAAACTCGCCCACCGAAGGCGCATCTGGCAACGTGCGCCCGTCCCTGCTCCAGAGCGCGCCGTCCAGAGACCCTTCTAGAGGCGGCGCCGGAGGATGTGTTGAGAGACTGGACGCATGCCGCACAAGTGCACGGTGACCCACGGCATGGGTGCCTTGGGGGCGGTGTCGGTGGGCCGGTGTAGGTACCAGACCTGCTCGGTTGGTCAGACCTGCTCAAGTCCTGCTTCATTCCAGTGACAGAAGCTACATGACTGGCTTAACATTGCCACATGATGTAAAACATTATGGTTGCCCAGCAACAATAATAACATCACTCTGCGTCAGTGTGCCGAGTCAGGAGCATCTGTACTGTTAGCGTTTCTAATGACCGATACCTGATCAATAAAAAACTGAAAACAATCTTTATGGTGAACAAAGTAACTGTTAGACCATGATATAAAGGGGGGAACTGGGTAGCACTGTGGCTAGCTGTGCTCAGTAGCTAACAGGTTAGACTCTTTTAGAATGGTCATTTAGCCATATTACGTGTCGACAACAACCATTTTTCTACAAGTAAAAAAACAGTTTTACTTGTCTAAAATCTCTACGAAAGTCATTTTTGAGATGTTCCATTTGTCCGTCCTGCCTTCAGATGTTAATAAAAAGAATAAAAATAAGCTGAGACTTTTTCTTGTCGTCTTGTAAAATGGCAGAACTCAGTCTTCGAACGCAGTACTTTCTTTCAAGACTTAGAATGATTCTTTTCTACTTTCGACTATTTTAGATCGTCAGTGAATTGTAAAGTAATAGCAAATATAGGTAATAATATGTTGAGACTCCAAAAGAGATTTGATTCTTAAGAAACTGTTGCACTACAGTTTGGTCAAGTGGAGTTGCATATGTTGACATCAGAAGAAGGGGCAGGGCCCCAAGCAGATCCGGTACCTACACCTGCCCTGGCCCAACTTCCGCGCTTCGGATGGTACCCTCCTCTCCCCCTTCCTCCGGAGGGTGCACGGGGGGTTTAATGTCTCTGTCAGTATAGTAAACAGTCTTTGTAGAGGAAGAAAATTACCAATAAAAAACATGGTTTATTCTTTGCAAATGTACCTATAAAACACTTAAGACATTTAAAGCAGCTGACCGTTGCAAACATTTCACAGTCCATTTCAGAGCTGTCATTATTAACAATTGCTGGTTGGATTTTATCCAACTATACAGAGCATTCGCCCATAACAGCGATGTACTGGTTGCTTGGATTCATTCCTCTTTTTAAGCTTTAAAATCTTGCTCAATAAAGTCCTTCTTTGAAGAGATTTGTTTTAAGGAGGCAGCTTAATCAGGACTTAACTGCTGTCCTACTGACAACAACTCAAAAAAAATCAATCCAACCGGCAGGGTTGGGTTTTCACAGGCGCCTGACGTCATATCCCATTATACTGACAAGTGATTGCATCACTCATACATGTTCGGACTTAAATCACCCATGAACAGTTGAACCTGTAATCTGCACCTTGGTCATCAAAGAATGGGCGGCGTCCATAACGGCTGGCTTGGCCTCTGGGTGGGGCACCAGCTCGACCAGTCTGACATAGTAAGGTGGGTTTACCTGCAGTTAACAGGACACATGAAAGGAAAGCTGATTATGTCACACAACACGCCAGGACATGACCCTATGCAAACGTCTGAACAGAAACCTGACTGAAATCTGAAGTCTGTCAAAATATCATGCATAAGAGTTTTAAAAAATGAGATGGCCTGAAACTAATATAGTTAAACTATTTCACATTGTGTTTGGAAATGTAGCTCTTGCAAACGTATAATGGAGCTGTAAATCAGTAGAGATTGACTGATGCATGTTTTTAAAGGCCGCTGCCGATTATTCAGACATCAATCTAACTGCCGATATATTTGGGTCGATTCTTACAGGCAAAATTGCTTTTTCTTTTTCCATTTGCATGTTAAAAATAACACAATGATAACAAATGTTAAACAAAAAACTGACATTTTGAAACAAAATGAACAATGGATATCAAATGCAGCAAATCCACTGTTGAATAAACAAACAAAACAAAAAAACTCAAACTGGGTTATTAACTCCATTAATTTGCAATTACACTGCGTCATGGAAACCACTGCACAATAAATCGGCCATCATTAGATACTGATCAAGAAATCCATGCTAATATTCAAAAACATCAGCTGCCATATGTCTCTGTTTTAATAAGCACTGTTCCCCTTCCTGAATTCTTTTAAACTAAAGCGTGTTGTATTTTTGGGTTGGTACCAACCGGATGGGACACAAGGCAGCGGCTTCTTTCCTGTACTTTAGAAAAGACGCTGCTCGGTACCAGGCAGGAGGTGGAGCTGCTCAGGATCACTTCTTTACCCACAAAACGTTCGATTTCCTGAAAGACGCCCTGCTTGTCTTCAAGCTGCTCGAATACGCACTCCTGAAATGCATCAACATAAAGAATCAGAATTAGAGAAACCGTTTAATGAGGTACATTATAAAATTTAATTGAAAGAATAAAGAAAAAAATAAACTTTGTGAAGGATAATGCAAAATACTCAAAATTTCAGATAACATTTGTTCAAATTCAAGATATGATGTATTACTATGACGTAATACTACACACTTTACTGTCCCTTAAAGCTGTTGCGGACTCAATAGTTAAACTTTGAGACAATAGAAATGCCACCATATAAAAAAATATTACTTTTACATGTAATGCAACATTTATGCAACAGCAAATTGAGTAAAAACAACCAAATCTGTTAAAAGAAAAAAAAAAAACTACATAATGATAAAAAGATAAAAAGGCACAATGATAAAGTTGCACAACAAATAGCTTGTTAGAGAATCTTAAGGTTGAAATTTACTCCCACTATTAATTATAGTGAATCTTAAAAGCCGACACAAATTTTAGGTTTGCAGGAAATATAAACTCACAGGTTTACAGAGCAGTGACAAGGGATCAAATGGATTAAAGAATAAAAAAAAAATCTACTGCTTTTTCTTCCAACAAAGAACAACAGATAACATGAAAAACATGAATATCCTTTTTGCAGATAAACCGCATAAATTGGGCCATTATAGAGCTTCTTGCAAATGGAATATGATTAAAACCTCCTTAGCGCTGCCCTCTATGGGTTGAAATGAGGCTACTGTTGAATTTTCAGTTCAGGTTTATATCACAGCTCCGTGTTTGAGTATAATCCTGCATTCGATTTACTTTGGAACTTGAATATCAGAGGTAACTGAAGCTGTGTGCTAACGTTTGAACGCTCTTCTTTTAGTCCAAAAACTGCATTTACCTGGAACCTGAATGGGTTCATAGCCACCTGGTGACATGGGTATAGGCGTCTGTGCATCATCTGCATAGTTATGATAACTTATGTTCTGAGTGAGGGAGAGGATGTAGAGAATGAATAAAAGGGACCCTAAGATGGACCCTTGGGGAACGCCACATGTGATTTTGTGGTCTTAAATAAAAATATAGGCGCTCTGATAAAATAGAGTGATCAATAGTGTTGAGCTGTGCACTAAGGTCCAATAATACCAGCACTGTGATTCTTCAACAGTCTGCGTTTTACGGATGTTGTTGATCACCTTAACAGGCAGACAGTCTCTGTACTGTGGTGAGCATGGAAACCTGACTGGAAGACGATGAAGGGTTTAATTAAAGCATGTCATGTAGCCTATCTCCCATGCATGCCATGCTTCCTTTTTAAATTGTTAATACTTTAAAACTTAATTTATAATTTCCAATAAAACTCATTTAGGTCTTTAACGTGACAAATGTGAGGGTCCTCCTGAGTGATAAAACATATAACTGTGGGTAATGACCATTATTTAAAAAATCATTTATTATCTAACTAAATTTATTTAGAGAACGAAGTTGGAAATTTTTTCCTAATTCTCTTTAGTTTTCAATAAATTTTTAATCCTTTGTTGCATACGAAGCAAGTTTGTCGTGTACGGTAGCTCACATGATTTGAGTTGTAAGATTTTACATTACTTAGAACTAACTCCTGGTTTCAAACAAAGACACAGAGTCTGTGGTAAATGACAGAAATCAATTAAGCAACGAACAACATTTCCCCTCCATAACCAGGAAGGAGCATTAAAAGTCCTCCAGTCTGTCTAAGACTCTAAAATCCAGTCTTTTTAATGATGTGTTTAAAATAAAGAATCATTAATAGATTAAAAAAGTAGCCTTAAAATAAAACCTGCTATATTCCTGAGATTCTCTTCTACAATCGTAGCTGGATGACCTGATTTTCTCAGTGTCATAAGGCTTTACCTTAAGCTTGAATTTCTAAATTAACTTCCTTTAGCCATTAGGAGTGACTCCTCAGCTTATTTCCAGTTGAATGCTCCTTTAAGTAGTGCAAAAAAAACAACGTTTTTTTTTAGTCGCCAAACACTCTGTTATCCGTGAAATTGGTATAAAGATTTTATTTAAAGAAATATGTCAAACTTTCAATTAAAAACCTTTATTTCAAAATTATCTGTTTGTTAACAGAACTTTGAACACATTTTAAAGGGTTAATGAGGTGATATTTATTTAATGAAGAGCAGAAAAAAGTGTGTTATACTGCCCCCTTCTGTCTGATTAAGGCAACTAGAGAACCAGGGATATTTTAGTATTGAGCCCAAAACCCCCAGTTCTCAGTCTATGATCAGATGTAGTTAATTTAAGTAAAAATAACACAAAAATAAGTTCTATTTGTTAATGAACAACTGTGCCCTGCTGTTGAAATAACCTGGAATAACTACAATAATTTGTTTAAACACAGCATGTCCTGCCCTGTGTTTCAATCTGAGTGTGAGAAATCCACTAAAAACAGCAATGGGGGAGCATATCCTATGCTTTTGTAAAAACTGATTCAGTCGTGTGTTTTTTTCGTCGAGTTACCTGCACGAAAAAGGCTCCCTCCAGGGCCTGGGCCAAGTCTTCATAGCTGGAGAGCAGGGCAAGCTGCTGCGCGGCGGTGAGCTGCCCTCTCAGCATGTGGGCTTCTTCCAGCTCCTCCAGCTGCTTCCTGAACACATGTGAGCACAAATGAATAAATAAATAGCTGTAAAAACCAAAAAAGAAAAAAAAAAAAAAAAAAAAAATATTAATAGACTAAAAAATTTCCCAACCCTATTCTAAAGGTATCTAAAGCATATTTTCTAGAAGGAAATCTACAGAATCGGCGAACATATAAAATGTTTTTTTTTAAAGATGTCAACTGGCTACAACAAAATCAACACAAAAATAAAAATTGAAAAATATTATAATAATAATGCCTGAAGAAACATAAATAACATCAGCTGCTGACCCTGGGGAGGGTCCAGCCTGCCATATAAAGCCTCCTAATGGCTCATAGGAGCCTTATTATGGCTGTAGGATGCTGCGAACATGCAGACAATGCACACGCCCTGCAGACGGGACATGGCAGCTGACGTGTTAATACCTTGGCATCTGTTTCTAGATATTTGTGACAAGCTGATTCTGAATTAGCAGAGCTTGTATGTTTCCCTTTTTGAGGTCCAGGTATCTTTTTACAAATAAAACCCTGAATGTACGGGAAACTATTTACTCTAAACCTTCAGATATAGGGAGTGTTATAGTGTGTGCCTCTATGTTTTTACTCTATTCAATCTGTGTATTATTCCCCTTTGGTCACTAAATCCTGGGATAGTGATAATTAATTTCTTCTACCATGTGGTTTGTATTCAGGGTTGCCAGAGCCCCTATTTTCAACCCAAAAACAACCTAAAACGACCCATATAGTATAGGATATTCTATTTATCTATTTGTTACATTTATTTTGGTCACTTTTCTGGTCACTTTAGTTTATTCTTTGTCAGTATTTAATAACCTAACTCAGGTCTCTTAAGTTATTTTTCTTTACAACAATTTTGTTATGGTTAAAAAAGTTGGTTAAATAAAAATTTAATAGGAAGTCTGTGTTTGTGTTCTTTATTAAAATTAAATCATTTAGCAATATCATAAAATGTCCACGCAGGGCTGCACATAAAATATGGTTTCGAGTCTTTTCAATAATCATCAATATCGATCAATATGCATTTTTTTTTTTATCGATAAGCTTTTTTGCTATATCGTCCAGCCCTATTTTACACTAATTGAAATGTCTTTAAATCCACATTAACATGAATTCAACACACTGTAGTAAACAGATAAATGGAGGCAGAAGATGTCTTTCAGTCATCAATGCACACATTCAGCGACACACAGGAGCTCTTTCAAACTGGGCACCGTTTCATTCACAACACCTGTCCCATCAACCAGGAATCAGAATCAGAAATACGAATAAGAATCCAAGGGTGAGATTACTTTTGTTACATTACTCCATCTGTAATAGAGTGACTATAGGACCAGTTTGATATAACAAACTAACTTTTGCAGAAAAAGCTAACTGTAAAAACATTGAAAATTTGTAATGCATTGGCAAAATGTACATGTGCAATTCAGCAGCAAAAAAAGAAGGCCCTTGACTTTCAGAAGCTATTTTTACCTAATGGTGAAAGGTCAGTGTTATTAACATGTTATTGAACATGTGCTTTTTAATGTTTATAAGCTGCTGATCAAGTATTGTTCATGTTTAGCTTCACAGTAATCAGCAGATGGAGGTTAATGGTTATATTTTAAAAATCTGTCATGATTTCTGAAAGTGCAGATCCTTTATTTTTTGTAATTTTACCAAATTACACATCCATTTATCTATTTTCCTCAAGCTAATCCCAAGCGGGGTTGCGAGGGGTGCTGGTGCCTATCTCCAGCTGTCTACCTGCGAGAGGCCGGGTACACCCTGGACAGGTCGCAGTCATGTTTTTTGACTGTGGGAGGAAGCCAGAGTACCCGGAGAGAACCCACAGATGCTCAGGGAGAACATGCAAGCTCCATGCAGAAAGATCCCGAGCAGGAAAATGTATCCAAAACCTTCTTGCTGCAAGGCAGCAGTGCTACCCACTGTGCCACCGAGCAGCCCCTGAATTACACATCATTAAGCAAAAACATGCTAATATTTCAAAGAATAATACATTATTTCAGATCATAAAACATGCAGGAACACATAAGGCACATCTGTACAAAGAAAGTTACCTGATCTCCGTGATAGCCTTTGAAGCCTGCCCCGGTTGGTTGTCGTAGATCTTTACCCGGTAGCCTCCGCTGACAAACACCATGGCCCAGGAGCGGCCAATCAGACCGCTAAGCACCCAGAGACAGAGTAAGAAGACATGAGAACATCCAGCAGTTCAGGTTAATGCTGTGAAATCCGATTTAAATCAGTTTCCATTGAAATGAACAAAGTTAATAAAACTGCAGAGCTTTAAGACATAGAATTTATTATTAAGACTGATTGGTCCTTTTATAGCAATTACATTTTCAAATCTTTTTGAATATGATGCCACACCGTAGCACATGTACGTTTAGGTAGGTGGGCCCTTACTTATTTGCAAGACATCTAAAGCTCCATGATCAGGTTGGATGGAAAATGTTTATGCAGCCATATTCAGATCTCAAGTCTGGACTCCAGCTGCACCAAAGCGCACTGGAGCAGGTTTTCCTCCAGGATGTTTGTGCATTGCTGCATTCATCTTTCCTTCTAACCTGATAAGTCTTCCTTTCCTACTGCTGTAAAACACTCCCATAGCATAATGCAACCACCACCATGCTTAACTGTGATTGGTGGATTGCTACAGAGATTGTTGTCCTTCATGTTGATGTTATGTTTAGACTTTTGAGTGCTAATTTTGAATAAGACTGTATCAAATGGGTGCAGCACTGTGAATACTATTCAGGTGCATCTTATAACAAAGACGTTTTATTTATTTGTTTTTACAAAGGGCCATCATAACATTTGAATCTTTACTTGATCTTGTTAACATTGCTCCAGACTGTTCAGTTAAAGATGACTTTCCGTTTACTTTACAGGTCAAGAGAGGTCACTAGAGGCCTAATGTGTTTAGCTGACTGCACAAAAATACGGATCAGGGTACAGGAAATAGGTTAAAATGTAAGCCAACCCTGAAAGGGATCACAGGAGAAAGACATTTGGTCAGTTTCACAGCAAACGTCAATAATAAAATGGGTTTCATGGAGTTAATGCTGTAAATGTGAGAGAAACAACTCAGAGGTGCGTTAAAAGTTCCATTCAAAACATACATTTGCAAGCATTTATGCAACTATGTGTTGTATGAGAAGGCACTAGATAAAATTAATTTACTGAAACAAAACCCTAAAATCATTATTTAATGTTGTCTTTTCAGTTTTTTGCTCACCTGCCAACCACGGTGATGGTCTTCAACTCTGCAGTGCTCATTATTTGATATTAAAGTGGCGAAAAGAGACTGAAGACTCTTTATTTCTTTGCACCGCCTCCTCAGAGTCACGCTGTCTAACTAGTACGGTAGCCAAGATGGACAAATTTAGTCCTTTAACTTCGAAATCTAAATTGATTTGATATTCTTATCAAAACGCTACCCTCAAATATGTAAAAGGATACTCGATTGTCTTGCAATTTCATTCTTTAATGTTAAATATTTTGAGAAATGTTTGAGCTAAGAACAAATAAAAAGACGACGTAGCTTCCTGCGTATCCTAGCAACGAGTGAATGACTTCTATATCCAATCCTATCAGCAGAAGATAATGATTGATGTATGAATTGCCAATCAGGAGCTGTAAAAGTGTTTCCCTCCCACCCATGCCGCTTTGAATTGTGGGACAGAAAGCTTTAACTATAACAAACATTTTTGTTATTATGCACCAGTAGCTGCCCGTTTTTTCCCCCAAATTCTGTGAAATAAAATGGAGAATGTGCATCTGGCAGTAGAGGAGGATGACCTTTATTCGGGTTACAACGACTACAATCCCGCATTTGAATGCGAGGTGAGTAATCATCCAGTGTTACTAAGCGTTTAGCTTCAATCATCAATGCTGCTAAGCTACTGTGTTAAGCTAAATTTGTAACTAAAACTAAAGTGACGTATGATATATAGAGGGATAAAATGTGATTATTTGGCTGACACCTTGGAGTTTGTATAATTTATGTATAATGATATGTAATGACACTTATTGTGGCTTTTCTAAGGAGTTGGAGAACGATGTGGGCTTCCAGCAGGCAGTTAGGACTAGTTATGGCAGAAGACCTCCGGTAAGAAAACACTGCATTCTAAGAAAATATTAAAAAACCGACAATAGTGATGTAATAAATACTGTTCAACATGTGGGTTTAAATTCATCGGACGCCCAGTTGATTCAGGCCTATCCAGCTTATTTACAAAAATAGATTTCATATTAATTGACTTTAATTGGAGTACGTAAGAGGGAGGGAGGAATTAAACAAACTGTGGCTAAAATATATAATAATGTCATAATTAATAGTTAAAGGATATAACCTTAAAAAAATAAATGCATTTGGTTGTTGTTGTTTTTACACCTTGTTTAAGTTGATGTACTTATGCTGCAACTTACGACAGAGTATTAGAGCCAGGCTAGAGATTTATTTTTCTTCTATTTCGAGAAGAAAGTCGCAACGAGAATAGGTATAAAATTCTGAGAATAAAGTAATAAAATTGCGAGAATGAAATAATAAAATTAAGAGAATGAAGTCATAAAATTCTGAGAATAAAGTTGTAAAATTATGAGAATCAAATAATAAAATTAAGAGAATAAAGTTGTAAAATTCTGAGAATAAAGTAATACAATTGCGAGAATGAAGTTGTAAAATTATTAAATAAAGTCGTAAAAAATTATGAACTAAAATTGGAACATTTTTGAGAATAAAGTTGTTAAAATATGAGTATAAAGTCATAAGATTATAAGAATAAAGTTGTAAAAATTCTCAGAATAAAGTTATAAAATTGCAAGAATAAAGTCGTAAAATTATGAGAATATAAAGTATTAAAATTACAAGAATTAAATGATAAAATTAAGAGAATAAAGTCCTAAAATTATGAGAATAAAGTAATACAATTGCGAGAATGAAGTTGTAAAATTATGAAATAAAGTCGTAAAATTATGAACTAAAATTGGAAAAATTTTCAGAATAAAGTCATAAAATTATGAGAATAAAGTTGTAAAAATTATCAGAATAAAGTTATAAAATTGCAAGAATAAAGTCATAAAATTATGCGAATAAAGTCATAAAATTACAAGAATAAAATAATAAAATTAAGGGAATAAAGTCCTAAAATTATGAGAATAAAGTCCTAAAATTATGAGAATAAAGTCTTAAAATTATGAGAATAAAGTCCTAAAATTATAAGAATAAAATAATAAAATTAAGAGAATTAAGTCCTAAAATCATGAGAATAAAGTCATAAAATTCTGAGAATAAAGTCATAAAATTCTGAGAATAAAGTTGTAAAATTATGAGAATAAAGTCGTAACATTAAGAGAAAAAAGTCACAATGAGAATAGTTAATTCCGAGAATAAAGTTGTATTTTATGACAATTCTTACAAGAATCACTGTCTTCCCTAAAATGATGAATGTCGAGCATCATGTGACGCTTTAGTTGGGCTCTGGTTTGACAAATAGGGAAATCTTTTAGCATCAAACTGGGCAGGATGTCAAAGTGAACTCAGGTTGCTGATTGGTGGAGCTGGTCGGCCCTCACATGCTGGTCGGAGCTCGAAGCTTTCTTTCTGAAACGCATTGTTGTACGATGACTTCTTTTACATAATATTCCGACTTTATTTTCGTAATGTTATATCTTTATTTTCATAATATTTCTAACTTTATTCTCAAAATAAAAAAGATAAATAAATCTCTAGCCTCGCCTGCTACTCCGTCGTAGCAACTAGACTTTGTGAACTAAACAAAAATTAAGCTTTTTATGGAAACAAACACTTCCAGGTGTTTGTGATCTAAAACAGCATGGTGGCCTCTATCAGTAAACTGAAAATAGATCATTCATTAGTGGTCTTTCAAAAACGATTGTGATACAAAAAATGAAATTGAAAAAGGCACAGAAGTCGTTTGATATACACTATAAATACTCTATATTCCATGGCTATTGCAGTCTCTAGACCTAGAAAGCCTGATTGATCTGAAAGGGACATTCAGTAAATCCATGACACTGAGCGATCTAAAGAGCCTGTGCAGAGACGAATGAGTAAAAGATCCCACTCTCTGTATACTTATTTATTTAGCATCTTTCTGAAAATAATATTGACATTTCATAGTGGTTCCGCCTGAAGTGTGAAACTATTAAAGATTATAGTAAGAGAGCCTCCCATCCCGAAGGACCCGGAGCAGATCGCCACAGAGGAATCAGTAAATCAATTAAGTTAAATTTATTTATATAGTGCCAATTCACTCAAGGCGCTTTACAGAGACAACTCAGTCAGAGTGTTTGAAAGTTTTTCATCAAGAATCATGCCTGGCAATTATAAAGGTTTTGTTGTTGAATTGCTGATGAAAATTTTCTGCAGATTTTTTAGGCCAAAATACTTATTTACGTGTTTGTTTGTTTTTATTTTTTATGAAAATGTCAATAAAACTTTTTTGTTTAGTTTTTTTTTTTCTTTTTAAATTATGCTCCTTTACATAGTTTTATATTTGTAGAAATTTCAAATTTCCTATGTGAAACAACAGATTAAATTACTATATTATAGAAAATCCCCCCAAAATGTAATTCATCTAGGATAATCCAGTTTGAATTCATTTGTCAATAATCATCTAGATGACTGCGAAGATTCCAGGCACTGCAATTGGAGGTCGACCTTTAGCATCATCGTTTGGGGTGAGTCCAACATGCTAAAAAAATATATGTTTGAAAATACCACTTAGCTTGTTTTCTAAAATGTTTTAAATAATCTGTAAATCAACAAGTGTTGTATTCAAGTGCGATGGTATCTTTTTGAATTACCTTAGGAAGGAAATATGGGAAAACTTCATCTGCAGAAAGGTTCTATTGTGGTAGATAAATGAATAAAGAGCTGAACTGAACTTTCTCATTTGAGTTACTTAAGGTTAGTCTTAGAGAAAAGGTCAGAAGTTCCTTCATCTGCAGGGAGCTCATTGTAGAGTAACTGCTCCTTCACATCAAAGGGAGTCAGTCGAGGAATATCAGATATGAATGAGTTGGAGAGAGATTAATGCCTGGGGTTGACCCCTAAGCCTGTAACCAAATATTTCTGTTCCCACCTGCTTCAGACAGTAAAGGCTCACAACTAAAGATAACTCAGTTTAGAGCCAGTTGCACAGACAAAGTGCTGGAGAACAATGTGTGCAGCTAAAGACAATCTACTCAATTTCAGAAAATATAAAAACAGTGATTGAAAAAAACCCAAACAAACATGTAAACTGTCCACATAAATAAACAGAAACAATAACAATTCTGTGTGTTCTATTATTTAGTCCCGCGTCCCAATGGCTTCATCACTGGGAAGACCCATGACTGGAGCTGTGCAGGTGAGAGGAAGAAACCAGATAAGCATGATCAGTTTAACATCTGTTGGTTTCTTTTCACCTTCAGTGCTGATCTACAAGGCTGCAACACTATCTCTTCCGCAATTGTTTTGCCTTCTTAAGTCAGGAAAGTGACTATTTGTTAACAAATGATCAGCTTCGATTATATTATATCTATTTTATTAAGCTATGCTCTACAGATTGAAGTCAATCATCTACATAAGCATCTAAAAACACCTGTAACCTGACTAAAAGGTCTTTGTTCGGATTCATCATATGAAAGCCTTCATACTTGCTGTTTAGTACCATTCAAATGTCCATTAGGGTAGATGTGACTATATTTTCTTTTCTAGATAACACATTCAAATTTTTTTATGTATATAAAAAATTTTTAAAGCTACAGTGTGTAATAATTACAGGCATATAAAGTCAGAAATTTAATATATTATACATAACTATGTTATTTATCATCACCTATGAGCTCAGCCTTTTAACCATAATATTTGCGTTGCCTTAGAATTCGTTATTTATAATTACATAGGAGCGGGTCTCGCAGCCATGGAGGCTGACATCTTTGCGCTACGGCAAGCGCAGAGGCAACAAACTAGCGATTGCGAGATCTCCCATGACGCTCAAAAATAACTACGGCAAGTTGAGAGAGATTAACTGAGACGGTACTGAACAGTAGATGGCAGTATTATGCCTGAGAAGCGTTTAGTCTGCCTGAAACCAAAGAAGAAGAAGAAGCAGGTATACTGCGCCTCAGTAACAAGAAAGGTGAACAAGGCGGCAGGCGTGAGTGACTTTGCAAACTGTTTGGCACTGTGTGGCCAAACATCAGACGAATGGAGGATCATGCCTACTCTGTATCACAACGAAAAGCGGCGGACACCGAACCCCCGTCATCTAAGAAGCGGAAACACGACGAGAATAAACGCAAGCGTGACAAGAAACGGCAAAAAACACGGATCAACATTGGCACGGCATTTACACGATGGAAGTCACTGATGGAGGAAAAAGGTTTTCAAAGTGACGCTCAAGTTGCCAGTTTTCTCTTGGACAGGTAATTAATCCTACACACACAATTGTCTAATATCACTGCAGTTTTTGGAGTACAGGATGCTCAGACCTGTCTAAAACAATAACATGCTGCGTGATGATGCTGTTACTCTCCAGTATACTTATTCAGCAACGTCCCTGACGTTTCACAGGTAATGATTCAGTAATTTTCTGTAAAATAATTTTCTGGATATATACCTCGGTTACTTCTCTCCGGCTCCTTTGGAGATCTTCAAGCCTTTCCTCCTCTGCTCTCACCCCGCTGGCTCCCCTCTCTCGCCTGGCCCTAGCTGCACGGCCTCCCTGCCTTCGCCCTCGTCCTCTCCCTCTCCCTCGCGTTGTAACCCCCGTGCCACCAAAATGACTTGGACTCTGTAAACGGGGGATATATATTCTTCCAGCGAACACAATCTCGCTGTTAAACTAATGACTACAATTACTTCGTCTGTTTATATCACCATGCAAAGCAGCTCACCAAGACGTCACAACGATGTAGAAAAAATAACGGGTATATTTATTATCTTAAGTCTACATGAAATCTATACCCTACACAGACTAATGAAATACTATCTGTAAAATTATCTATGTAAACAAACCTCATCACTTGAGAAGGTAGGTGATGTGGACGTCGTAGAAGAAATTTTGTCCCGTAACGCTCGCCGTACTGTTGGGGGGGAGAAGCGGTGGGGGGGAGATGTTCATGTTGCTGCGGTCTGTAGTCTGACCGCTAGATGTCGCTGAAAATTACACACTGTAGCTTTAATTTTTATTTTTTTTTTCATTATTGTATGGCCAATTTCCATTCAACAGGATGGAGCTGCCCGTCCGATGACTGCTGTCACAGCTGCAGGTTTCTCCTCCTCACTGATGCGTGGTGAGTTTAAACAGAAGAGGTGTTTACCTCTTTTTGATGTGCTGTGGTTGGTCCCTATATTACCATTAAGATTGTAATAAATGTTGCATGGGCAAAGTGGGCCTTAGCATCTCTGTTTCATATGCAGATAATCCTTAACAGATGAATTCCTTTCCAGGCTCAATGTTCGACCCACTGGGCCAGTCCAGGGGCCCTGCCCCTCCACTCGAAGCAAAGAGTGAAAACACGTGAGTTGGCTCTTTTTGTTCAGCAGTGAATGCTGGTTATAGTTGCACTGTCAGGCACTATAGCCCAAATCTGACAACTTTACTTTTGATGCTTTAAAGGTGCCGTAGGAGATCTGTTCTGATGCGTTTTTTACCATGTGGCTTAAAGATCTCCCCACAGCTGCTTAGCAAGCGTTGAAATAGAAGGTCTGGTAGTGAAACTAAAATAAATGGTTCCAGCTACAGCGAGAAATCAATGAATAACCTCAAGCAATTACAAAAGATGGTCCATTGTACACGATTGGTTCCTGACACGTCATTCATGGTCGTCTGCTTGTCCCTCCCCCCTGTGCGCGTACTTTGACACATGATTTAATCGACCCCCCAATACTCGTGCAGGACGCCATGGCTGGAAGCTAGCCACTGTTATGTTACGTTCACACAGCAAGAGCAGCAAGAAAACGCGCGTGCTGCTTCATTTTTGATGCTTGTACAAGTTTAGTTCTGACACACAGCTGAAGCATCTTTGCTGCTCTGGCTGCACGGTGGAAAAAGTGGGTCTGCTGCGTGTTGGGCAGAGCTACCCTATTCTTTCTTTGCCTGTAACAATGGCAGCTATATTTGCTTTGATCAGTGAATCCATTTTGAAGTGAGAAAGTCCACCTGAAAAACATGGATAGTGCAGCCAGTTCATCCAGATTACCATCCTGCCTTCAAATATTATTTCTGTCTGAGCCGCTCAGACCCCTGTACTCCGGCGGTGCCGTCACTAGGAACCCCATTCAACAGCAGCCTCTTGCCCAGTCGCCTCTTTGCAGTTTGCCGTGGCAGCTGGAAGGCATTTTTCATGTACGTAATCCTAACTGCAGGCACCAGTATAATAAAAGCAAACCAAGTCCAGTGGATATGTTTTGAATTTTTACGGAAAAAGCAAACGTTTTGCGTTACGTTAATTTAGGCGTTAATAACCTGTTTCAGAGCAGTGATCATAGCGCTCTGCATCATCAGTGCTGCCTGTCTCCCTACCAGCTCCCAGATCAGTGACCCGCTGCTTCAGCTGCTCTAAACGTAGCAGACAGCACCCACGCTCGTGTTTTGAAGGCATGGTTTCGAGGGGTGGTCTGAAGGGAGAGGCATGGTTGTGTATGTTCAAAAATATTGCTTGCTAGAACCATTTTTCCAAGATCTCCTACAGCACCTTTAAATACGAGCATCCTAATTATGTCTTGATTCATTCAGAGTTTATTGAATCTCAGGAGATAGATAATGGCGATAACAAAATCACCCATGGGGCATGTGGTTGCAGCTATCTTTGTTGCTATGGCTATGCCACACCTATATTCTGATCCCTTCTTGCCCTAACAGATCACAGTCCTCATTGTATCATAACTGTCCCCTTTCCTGGGGTAGACCAGACTTTAAACATTTTTTCTATCTCAAGATATTTTAACTGAAACAGGCATAAGGAACGAATGTAGATCAGGAACTGAAATAACATTATTATTGTTTTTATTGATAATATTTATTGAAAGAAATTTGGAGAAAGAGATCTTTGTTCAAAAGTCTTCCTTCAGAAGTTAAGGAGGTGAATCAACCTCTTATGAGGGGAATAGCACCTGTTAGAACTTATGATGCTGTTGGAGGAATTGACAAAAAAATGTAGTGAAACAATAATGTCTGTTCACCAGTATCCGTTCAGTCATCTGTGAAGTTGAAGTTGCTAGTTGAAGCAAACTAATCCCAACAGGCTTTCATGTAAGTGGAAGGAATTGAGAGGGGAAATAAAATCAACTACAGTGAATGGATTACCTGCGCCCTCTAGTGAAGAACTTCTTGTGCAGTTAAACTAGTATGACACATTTTAATCACCTTTGGGTTTAAAATGATCATTTAACTGTAATTGTATTGCATTTATTTGATTGTCTAATTAAATTCTATTTAATGAAGTTATGGACTTATGAATTAACCATATTATCACAATATTCAACAGGTGCAACTCTAAAAATAAGTAGCAACAAAACTTTTAGTTTGGACTTCTGTTAGCTAGCAGTCATAGATATAATTAAGTTTGATGTGATATGTGTCATGTAGAGAGATGTTTGGTCTCTGAGGATAAATTCATGTAGAGTATTTTCTGTCCTCTGTGCTACAGTGTGGAAGAGAAGATCAAGATCATGGAGAAGAAAGTGAATGACCTGGTGGAGGAGAGCTGCATGGCGCAGATCACAGGCGCTTTACAGCTGGTCAGACCCTAAATCTGATTCTAAACATGACAATAATGTAGGGAAGCAAAGCATTTATTTAAAACTAATAGGAGCGCGGGGCTGCTTGTCAGCTTTGGGGCGTGTCTCTGCAGAGATAGGAGATACAGGTCAGTGATTGGATGTGGAGCGGATCACGACTTCGAGCAAAGTCACTGACCTGATTCAAAGTTCAGTCCGTTCTCGGAGAAAAGAGCTGAATCCAAATGGGACACTGTTGCCGAGCAGCAACAGTGTCCATAAGGGGAAATCCAAAGCCAGAGTTAGAAGACAGGCCCAGGTTCAGAAGCCTTTAGAATCCAGGAATCAGTCCAGAACAGATCAGACAAACAGAGCAGACAGGGGCAAGGCAAAACTCAGGATCCACAGGACAGAAACTGGTCACAATCAGAAAAAACAGAATAGACTTCAAAAAGCTAGAGTTAGTCTCACCAAAATGCTCGAAAAACCTGGCGCTGATGGAAGGCACGCACACAACATAAATAGCAGAGGAACCAAGTGGAAATGATTGGCGTTAATCAGCCACAGAACCAATTAGACAGGGGAGCAAGGAGCAAGTGAAAAAAACGAACCATCAGTGCCAAGATCATGACAAATTCTAGCCTTAATCTGTTCATTTATTTGTCACATAGAATGTCTGCACTGATGGATAAAAAAAAACAAAACAACTATGGTATTTCTCTTCAGTTGATATTCAATTCAATTAAATTCAGTTTATATATACACTCACCGGCCACTTTATTAGGTACACCTGTCCAACTGCTCGTTAACACTTAATTTCTAAGAAGCCAATCACATGGCCGCAACTCAGTGCATTTAGGCATGTAGACATGGTCAAGACAATCTCCTGCAGTTCAAAGCGAGCATCAGTATGGGGAAGAAAGGTGATTTGAGTGACTTTGAACGTGGCATGATTGTTGGTGCCAGAAGGGCTGGTCTGAGTATTTCAGAAACTGCTGATCTACTGGGATTTTCACGCACAACCATCTCTAGGGTTTACAGAGAATGGTCCGAAAAAGAAAAAACATCCAGTGAGCGGCAGTTCTGTGGGTGGAAATGCCTTGTTGATGCCAGAGGTCAGAGGAGAATGGCCAGACTGGTTGGAGCTGATAGAAGGGCAACAGTGACTCAAATAACCACCCGTTACAACCAAGGTGGGCAGAAGAGCATCTCTGAAAGCACAGTACGTGGAACTTTGAGGCAGATGGGCTACAGCAGCAGAAGACCACACCGGGTGCCACTCCTTTCAGCTAAGAACGGGAAACTGAGGCTACAATTTGCACAAGCTCATTGAAATTGGACAATAGAAGATTGGAAAAACGTTGCCTGGTCTGATGAGTCTCGATTTCTGCTGCGACATTCGGATGGTAGGGTCAGAATTTGGCGTCTACAACATGAAAGCATGGATCCATCCTGCCTTGTATCAACGGTTCAGGCTGGTGGTGGTGGTGTCATGGTGTGGGGAATATTTTCTTGGCACTCTTTGGGCCCCTTGGTACCAATTGAGCATCGTTGCAACGCCACAGCCTACCTGAGTATTGTTGCTGACCATGTCCATCCCTTTATGACCACAATGTACCCAACTTCTGATGGCTACTTTCAGCAGGATAATGCGCCATGTCATAAAGCTGGAATCATCTCAGACTGGTTTCTTGAACATGACAATGAGTTCACTGTACTCAAATGGCCTCCACAGTCACCAGATCTCAATCCAATAGAGCATCTTTGGGATGTGGTGGAACGGGAGATTCGCATCATGGATGTGCAGCCGACAAATCTGCGGCAACTGTGTGATGCCATCATGTCAATATGGACCAAACTCCCTGAGGAATGCTTCCAGCACCTTGTTGAATCTATGCCACCAAGAATTGAGGCAGTTCTGAAGGCAAAAGGGGGTCCAACCCGTTACTAGCATGGGGTACCTAATAAAGTGGCCGGTGAGTGTATAGCGCCAAATCACAACACATGTCATCTTTTTGTATGGAGTTTGGATTTTCTCCCTGAGCATGGGTGGGTTCTCTCCAGGCACTCCTGCTTCCTCCCACAGTCCAAAAAATGTGACTGTTAGGTTAATTGGCTTCTCTAAATTCTCCCTAGGTGAAGGAGGTCAAATTAATTCAAAGTTTTTTATCTAAGGAAAACCAGTTGATTGCATCGACTCATTGACTTAAAGGCAATCCCTCATATTGATTATTGTATACTTTGAAAGAATAAATCATCCTTAAAATGATCAAAGTTCAATTGATTATCTATGAAAACCCCATAAAAGTTTTATTTTGACTTAATGTTGGCGAATGATCAATAAATGCTGTATTAATGTTTGAAAAAATGAAGGTAGAGATTTTGGTCTGAAATGTAGACACTTTTATTTGCTTTACAGAAATTTAGTAACGGTCAATCCCAAATTGTAAGCAATTTCTGTCTAGTGGACTATTTTTTACTGAAGAGAAACATATCTCTATTGCTGTTATGACTGTAAACAGTAACACATTTATAGAAAAAAAAGGACTGAGAAATCTTAAACTAATTCTTCTTATTTTTCCTTTTGTTATCACCACAATAGAACAGATGAAAAAATGTTTATAATGCAAGCAACACAAGAATGTAACATAGACCTTAGATCTCACTTCATATCGAGGTTGCAGACACATTACAAATCTCACAACAATAGGCTGAAATATTTGCGCCATTTGCTTCTCTAAAGTTTTTCTCATTACAGACAGATTGTCTCTGATATCTTCTTTGTTAATTGTTGTCTTTATAGCCTGTCATTTTTTTGGGCATTTGCTTTTGCAGGCGCTCCAAAAAGCCAAAGAGGCAGGCAGGAAGGAACGAGTGCTGGTCAGACAGAGGGAACAGTCGGGCAACACAGAACACATCAACATAGACCTCACTTATTCTGTGAGTAAAACAGCGATCATAAATCGGCTGTAATTCTATTTATTGTTTCGCTTAAACAGTGTTATTATTTATAGGCTAATTAAATTGTAAAATTGTCTCTAACCACTTCAAAACATTTGCTAATTATGTCTTTATCAGGTTTTGTTCAACCTCGCCAACCAGTATGCAAACAATGAAATGTACCCGGAGGCTCTGACCACCTACCAGGTCATTGTGAAAAACAAGATGTTCAGTAACGCAGGTAACCAGATCCAGTTGGCTGCAGACTTACAGCGTATGTTCTCACAATGAGGCAGCTTGACTCTAAAGTGTTGCTCCTCAAACCTTTTAAAACAAAAAAAATTACGAGTAGAAGTCTTTTGTATTGTGTGACACATCTAACTGACCACATGTTGTTTGATTCTAAGTTAGGGGTTGGTTAATGTATAAAAGACTTAAGTCGTATATCAATCTATGGAGCGAGATAAAAAAAAAAATCACTTTACAGAGAATATTCAATCAGGTCATAGAGTCAGATTAGTAAAAAGTTTTCTATCAAAAGAAAACCAGCTGATTGCATCCCATCCAGGAAAAGAGAGCGGGCTAATCAATATTTCTCCACTAAAACCTTTTTTACTGAACTGTGGGGAAACAGTTATAAGTACCTACATAAACTAAAAATGTAACAACCTGCCGGCAAAAATGTTTTCATTTTGTATTCTGATATTTGCCGTTATTAACAACAAATCTAAAAAAACTTTTTATATTCACTTCCAGCCATTACGAAGGGCAGTGGAAAATCCCCCACAGTCTGGCCGGCTTCAGGAAGCTTTCACCCAGTACCGTTGCCCGCCTGTATGTGGGGGTTCTGCAGCTCTGAACTAGAACAGAATAGTTTTGTAGGATCATTATCGTGATGAACTGACCACAGATGATGTTTTCAGCCCCCTCTTGGACATGATCTTCCCTCTGCTCTGGAGCAGCAGGACGCTGCCTGTCAAGGCTGATTTATACTTCGAAACCAGGTCGTCTGTGTAGGTGTCGCGGTGAACGCAGAGACGTCCCCGATGCAGACACTCTGGTGCACCTCTGTAGTGCCGCAGACAGGAGGTCTCTGATTGGTTAGATCTTCATCCACTCTACACTATGCGTATTTCCTGTTTGGTACCTTACCGGCTTGTTTTGTTTGTATGACCACCATTGTGGAAAACAACTCATGAAGTTGGACCAACTAGACTAACGAGGACCGTTTTTCCACCTGGATCCCCGCTCTTTTTCGTCCTCATGTCCTTCAGTTGTTGGACAAACTTGCCCCCACTTCCTCACCACCTCAGCCGTATCCAGACCCACAGCTAGTTCCTGATTGTACCTGTTGTGTTGTGGCGTAGATTAATATAGCGCAGGCCGCGCTTCAATGTTGGGCATAAATCAAAAATGTCTGCGTCATACCTGCGATAAGCTCACTGCAACACACTAGGGGTGGAACGATTCACAAAATTCACGGTTCGGTTTGATTCACGGTTTCTGGTCACGGTTTTCGGTTCGGTTCGATGTTGATTTTTACACCGAAATCCTATAAAAATTTATGGAATTAATGAAAAAATCCCCCCAAAAATAATGGATTGTAATTATTTTAAATGATCCGTGGAAACCCTGGATCATCTCCGTATGTTCTGCTGCTTTGAATTTAATCATTTCGCGCATGCTCTCTACCATCTCCAAGGAACTCAGAGGGGATCGGACAAAGCCACAGGGGGGCTGTATGCTTTGCTTTGAGCAGCCGGTCTGGAGCGCAGCAGGGCGGAGCGGGGGTTGCTGACGGAGTATGAGGGATTTCGGGGTTAGCATGACATGTTGGTCGTGTTGCTGTTAGCGTAAACAGAAATGTGTTGCACAATGCTCGCACACTGTTGCACTTTTATCCACAACTTTCTTTCCGCCGTCATCGTAGGTCACTCTAAATGCAAAGCGCTCCCATACAGCAGACCTATAAAGTGCTGCTGGCGCGTCTTCCAACTCCTGCTCTTTCCCACTCGCCATTCCGACACAATTCTCCACAACAACTGATTTTTTTCCCTGCTACACCCGGCTAAGCTGCTTCGCTTCTTCTTCTTCTTGTTTACTACTGGTGGTTGGCTTTGGTCGCAGTACCGCCACCTTCTGCTCTGGAGTGTAAACGCTTCCCCTATGAGAAAAAGGAGCAGCGCATGAACCGAACGAAACACACGCGAACCGAACCGAGACAGTCGAACCGAACGGTTCTGACGGTTTTCATAAATCGTCCCATCCGTACAACACACTGCTGCGGGATTGCAGCCAACCTTTCAGTCTCCATGAGAAATCCCTATTGAGGTTTGGACCTGAGTATATTGAAGTAAGCGGTGAGAAAGTCGTAAGGCTGGCTGCCCGATGCTGATTGGCAAACATACTAAAAGATTTGACTGACAGTGGCTAGACAGCGAGGAGGTTTTCCTCATTAGTCCAGAGGGAAGTGTTCATTCATTCAGAACAGTCATCTTGTGCTCAACTCTTGCCGTGGTTTCTGGAGTTTATTTTTTCAGAGCGGTTAAAGGGGAGTGAAGGCCTAGTGTTTAGAGCAGTGTGCTTGTGCTCTGAGAAGGTTGCAAGTAGCCGGTTCGATCCCCACAGTCTGCACTCTGGGGATCGAATGGCAGCCCTCTGCTCCCCAAGAGGATGGGTTAAATGCAGAGGTAAATTTCACAAGTGTGAGATCAATAAAGTGCAGTTATTATTATTAACCACAGCTATTTTCACCTGTTGTAGTGATGTGTTTTATGTGTGTCAACATTTGTTAATGCAATATGTGACATTTGGATTAAATTAACACCATTGATCCTCCCCTGTTTCAGAGAGCAGCAGCCACTTTTTAAATATCTACCAACACATTTTAATATTTGATATAACTTTTCATAGTTTAATGCTGAGTTTATATTTGTTTGCCTTATTGCATAAATAAAACTACACCTGATTCCTCAATGGGACATTTAATGGCACATTTTTTTTATCTTATGTTGAATTTTACTGTTTTATTGATTCCCTTTATGTTCCAAAAGAACTGTTTATATCATTAAGATTTAAACTGGCTGCTGTAAGAGCTTTTCTTTATATACAAAAAAAAGATGTTTTTGTGTCACATCCATAGTTATCTTATTGACTCTAACCTGTTTTTTTCTGAGTCTTAGTCCTAACTTTGAAATCAAGCTCTACCTGCTTCTTTCCAGACTAATATGCTGAAAATAGCATGAATTAGTCTACATATCCCATCATTAGAGAAAGATTAATCATAGGTAAAATGGAGGTAGAAATCAGAGGGATCTAACTTACTAGTTGAATGTTAAGCTCAGATTAAGCTTTTAGTATAGTTTAGGTCTATAGTTACTGTATTCATCCCCTTACTTTCTAGGGATGAATTAATCGTATTTGTAAAGGTGTCAATGATTCCTTTTTTTTAACTAAATCAATATTATTTCTAATCCCTTGTTAGATATTTTATATTGCCATTAAAATGCAAATTCTGTCCTTCCAGGCCGACTCAGAGTCAATATGGCCAACATCTACTTTAAACAGAAGAACTACCTTAAAGCTATCAAATTCTACCGCATGGCGCTGGATCAGATCTTCGCCGATCACAAGGAAATGAGGATCAAAATCATGCAGAACATCGGAGCGGTGTTTGTCCACCTGGGCCAGTACTCTGACGCCATAACGTCTTTCGAGCACATCATGAGCGAGAGTCCCAACATAAAGACTGGATACAACCTTATCCTGTGCTACTATGCTATTAGAGACAGAGAGAGGATGAAGCAGGCCTTTCAGAAGCTCATTTCCGTCCCTCTTGGGATTGATGATGAAGAGAAGTACATCCTAGCAAGTGTAAGTTAGAAGAATTTTATCCTGCAAAATCTCTGAACTTAAACTTTTGGCTCATATAGCATTAATGTATTTTTATTCAATTTGGGATTTTAACTCTGTGTAGCAGATAAGAGTAATGTGAATTTAAAGGGATGCATGTTTTTAAATGGCAAAGTGCAGTTTGCATTTTTATTCTCTGTCCCTGAAGAGAACTAAAATCAAGTTTTGGAGTATATCCCTAACATCCTTGGACATCTAGAGATCCAAACCTTTTCTAAATTAGCTGAAGCTCAGATTGGATGGAGCACATCTTCCAACCTCAGTGTCCAAGATTCTTGATTGGATTTATGTCTGGACTTTGATTTAGCCATTTTAGCTCATTAAATTGCTTCAATCATTCCATTTTAGCTCTGGCTGTATGTTTTAGGCCATGCTGGAAGGTAAACCTCCACCTACCCTCAAGTTTCTGCTTTAAACTGTTGTCATTATATTAAGCACAATTTTTAATATTTTTAAGAAAACCATCCCCACAGCATGACACTGCCATAACCATGTTTCACTGAGGATCGTATTCTCGGGATGACACTGCTGTTATTTATTTATTTTTTTGCTTTTTGTTTTACCTCAATATCGTGTTACCTGAAAAAATTCGATATTGAAACCACTTTGTATTGGTTTGTCATTCAAATACCATATTTGCAACATGAAAAATATCCAAAATCACTGCTTAATCTTTATAAATTTGCATTTATTTTCATTACGGATTGAGATTTTCTCTGCTTTAAGTCAGTTTTATTTTGTTTCTACAGATTTCATTGAAATTTGAATTGTCTCCAGTTAACTTTGTGCTGTTGTTCTTTTTTTGCTTTTTTCAGGATGACCCCAGTTCCAATATGGTCATCGAAGCCACTAGAAATGACAAGCTGCATCAGATGGAAAGAAACCTGTAAGAGGAACTCTGCATAAACCAGCATATTATGTATACCAAGTCCTTACATGCATGTGTTCTTTTGTCTTATTTTTATGTCACTGTTTTCTTGTTGTAGGAAAATCCAGGCTGAGAAGTACATCATGACAGCAGCCAAGCTAATCGCTCCAGCTATTGAGACGTCCTTTGCCAGCGGTTTTGACTGGTTTGTGAATGTAGTGGTGCTATATTGATATTTCCTTGAGTTTTTACTTAAATTTAGTTTCTTCTTACTTTTTTTCTGATCTTTTAAGGTGTGTTGACATGGTAAAGAGCTCTCAATATGTGGAGTTTGCCAGTGATCTGGAGATCAACAAAGCCATCACATACATCAGACAGCAGGACTATAATCAGGTGAGTTTGTCCTTCTTACAGAGTAGTGTCAGATAGCGTGGGTTTCGGTTCAAAACTCTGATATTTTCTTACAAACACATTCCTTTACCTGCTGATTAACAGGGTGAAGTTTGTCACAGAACAACATATTAAAGTAATGTTTTAATCTATGGTCCATATACTAAACTAATATTTTTTTGACATAGATTAAAAATGAGTGTGGCTTAAGGCTACAATTTATTAAAGATGTAAGCTAATCCACATTAGATTAGGAAACATCTTACTATAATAATCTGATGTAGCTGACTTTTTTACCATATTAAATCTTATAGATAGATAGATTGGTGGGCAGCTGTTAACTACTTCTGGTAACTGTGCGAAATCCCCAACAGGTGTTAAACATAATTATCTCTAAATCTGAAGCAACTTTTAGAAACAAGACCATTCTTTGGATTTATCCATAAAGCTGAAGCATCGCAAGGGGCGCCTGGGATGTGATTATGATCAGTCCAGAACTTGCTGCCATCAGTGTTGCACAGATGCCATTTTTTAGCCCAGATACCAATACCCAATACCTTGCTGTGCAGTATTGACTGATGCAGATACCATCTGTTTAAAATTGATGTGTGTGTGAATATATGAAGAACTGCATACTACTTGGATGTAAAATAATTACCATCATGGCTTTGTCAAGCTACCGCCTTCCTTTGTGAAGCAGGAAAAAGACTAATACAAAGTGAATCCAGTAGAACTTTTTATCACCTACCTGGAATGGGTGACAATAGTTGAATAAACTTTTGGCTCTCAAAATGGTATCGGTGCCCTATTTGTTGGTACCCGCCGATACCGATACCACCATTTTAGTGCTAAATCGGGGCCCTGCCCAATACTGGTATCGGTGCAACACTAGTTGCCATTCATAATGCTTCCTTTCATTTGTCACGTCACTACTGTGACTACCAATCATATTTATCATCTCCATCTCACACAACACATTTATTTCTGTCTCAGTTAAACACATTTTTCTCTTTCTCTGCGTTTGATTAATATTATATGTCACCGATCAGCTGACTCATTTAAATACAAAATCACAATCATGCACTGCTTTTCATGGAGTGTGGTTGAATGTGGGCGCGTAAAGACCTGATTGCAGTTGTCACACCCGCTTTCCCTAAATCACACTAGATGGTGTGTGTCAAATGTTTTAGTTTTTAATCTGTGTCGTAACTCCCCACTTCTGACGCCACCAGCCGCCTCCTGAAAAGTTGAATCAGTACTGGATTGATTCAAGATCCATTTGGGCAAATTTCTGACTCTACCATCTGAATAAGGCAGATGACATTAAAGTTTTTTTCAACATGCCACAGTCCAGCTTCTTTTGGGAGTGGCCCCTGGTTTATGATTCCTTATTAATGATAGGAAAATACTTCAGTCAGCTTTTTTCTGGTTGTTTCTTTTATGTCAGCATCAGCTGATGCATTAATGCATTTGGTGATTCATTATTGCATTCAGCAGTCATGCCTTGAGATCATCTATAGCTCCTGCATCGCTGCTCCCTCTATTTGCTAACCATTGTTAATGTTTTGTTTGAATTGTTTTATGATTAAAGCTGGTATAATATTTGTTTTCATTGTATTTTTTATTATGCTAATGGTGGAAGAAGAAGTAATAAAATCTTTAAGTACTGATCCCCCCCAAAGAATTGGCAGCACAGATCTGGGATCACATGGCAAAAAACTATCTAGAAATAAGTAGAAATTTCTTAAATCAAGTGTATTTACCCTTAATTTCAGCAGGTAAATAAGATGGATTTGCTGATTGAATGGGTATTTTTACTCTTAAAATAAGATAATTAGATAATATGTGCTTGTAATAAGACAATGCAGTTGTGTTTTCTTATTTAATGTAAAACTGTCTTGTTCCATTGGCAAAGTATCACACTTACCTCCTCCATTCAAGACAAAATTCACTTATTTTAAGAAAAAATGGCTTATTTAGATTTAAATTTTTTGCAGTGCAGTTGGACTGATGTCAAAAATACTTGATTATTTGGACCTAAAAAAAATCTGTATCGTCCAAACTCTGTTCCTCCATGTCATAGTTTTAATCGGTATTTGAACTTTCTATCATTTTAAACACGTCCGCCTAATCTTCTCTGTCCTCATTTTGGCTTTTTTGTCTGATCAGCCTCCCTCTATTATTCTTTTCTTCCTTCAGTTTTTTAACACATTTTCTGAAAACGTGAAAGGCTGATTGCATTGTTAAATATCTTCCTTTCCTCCCCGCTCTGATTCTCTGATTGAATTCTGCATATAGACATCATAACATCAATACGCCTAAAAGCTGCCGTCTAATTAGCTGATTGGCTTTGTTTTTATTTATCAAACTGCTGAACTTAAAGTGGCCAAGGTGATTTATGTAGGACCTGTCATTGTTGGAACTGAGCTGGCACATTGTTTACGTCAAAATACTTTCTTTGATAATATTTTGAAGCTTGAATAAAAGAGAACCTATAAAGAAATGCCCCCCAGCATCACAGATACTCTACCATACATAAGAGCTCATGAGTTGCCTTTTTACTTAAAAGAAAAAACAAAACAAACTCAGTCCTGCTGCAGTTTCCTACAATAAGCAGATATTAGCGGAGTGTATAATGTCTTATGCGGCTCTGTAGCCCCATTAGCCTGTATGTCCTGACTAATGCCTCTTAGCACCCTTCGCCTCACTTAAATAGTGCTTCTTCTTGACTTTCTGATTTTGAAGAGCAGCTATTATAGTTCTAATAAAGTTCCACGTCAAAAATGTAAAATAAACAAAGATTGTTTTGGGGGTCAGTAAATGTGTCCCTTGTGATTCTGTAAGAACAATTACATTATTAACCTGGGAATTTGCAAAACTTTCTTTTGCTCACATCTGGTTTCACCAGGTGTGTCAGCAAATGTGGAGAATAAATACTTCAGTCCAGACTTTGTTCAAATATGTTGCTTACATGTTTATTTTTAGGTTGCTTATTCCCATTATTGCTCTAATGTGTGAAGGGTTTGCTTTGCTTTTCCATATAAGGAGTGATTTTATGTTTAAACCACTGTAGCGATATCTGATCATTGTTTCTACATGGCTTCATTTTTGTCACACAGCTCTCGATTGCACTTAAATTCTTCCTCTTTTCATTGTCCTCCCTTCTCTCCTGCTTTTGCCTAATTTTTTCCCATATCTGTGGCTAAGATATAGGTATGTTTGCTCTCTGCTTTCATGATCACAAATTGTTTTAGTTTTGTTTGTTTTTTCCCACTACCTACACATACCGATGTCCAAATGGACCAGCCAGAGAGACTTGGAGAGGCAGTTATTGGTTAACAAAGCCATAGAGTCATTGGCAAAAGCTTTATATGGAAAGGAAACTACAACTTTACTTAATCAAGTATTTTTGAATGTACACTGTGTGGTATTATGGTGTACATTTTAGGACATATTTAGTCTCAGGAAATCTTGAATAATCAAGCAAATATTTTAGTTTTATAAAGCTACATTCTCGCATAATCCTAAAAGTTTATGGCTCAGACCTGCTAACCTTGGATCCTGAGATCTAATGATGTCCTATAATGTGCTCTGGAGGGCTGGGAGGGATTTACCATTAGGCAATACTAGGCAGTTGCCTAGGGCCCCAAGTTCCTGGGGGCCCCATAAAAATCCTTTTCCATGTAAGGTTAATACAGCTATCACTTATTGTGACACATTAATTATGTTTTTGATAAATACTTTCGCTAAAATGCCATCAGAACGTTTATAATATTAAGACCTTCAGTGACAAACACAATAAATTTGACCTTTTGAAGTGTTGCTTTTACAAAACGCAGGCCTTCAGAGAACAGCTGGATTTGTACTAAATATAAATCAAAGGAGGACCTTGTTTACTATGCCAGATTAGATTAAAATGTATCAGGGTATTAGATTTCTTTGTATGAACATTTCAAACAATTCCCCATAAACCAATGTGTTGTGTTAGTCTATGAGCTACAATCTCTGTGGTTTTAATCTGGTAAATATGAAACGTTATGCTTGTATTCATACTTTTGACGGCCACACCTAGATCTCTCTTCAGGACCAGAGAGACTCACAGAAAGCTGAACTCAACATGTTTTGTTTTACTGCATTAACAGGCGGTGGAAATATTAAAAACATTTGAAAAGAAAGACAGCAGAGTGAAAGGCGTGGCAGCCACTAACCTTACTTCCCTCTATTTCTTGGTAAGTCTCTCTAACTTCGTTAAAACAACAGATTTTTATGTTAAAAATGTATTTTAGGTGATACGCTGGATTTAAATTCAATGAATGGACAGAAGTCTTGATTCAGTAGTTTTTATGTTTTACAGGAGAAGGACTACGAGCAGGCCGAGCGATACGCTGACCTGGCTATTAACACTGATCGTTATAATCCAGCTGTACTTGTCAACAAGGGAAACATGGTGTTTGTCATGAAGGACTATGAAAGGGCTGCTGAGTTCTACAAAGAGGCACTGAGGAATGACTCCTCGTGCACTGAGGCGCTCTATAACCTGGGTAGAGTTTATGTTCAGCTATTTGTAACTGTCGAACAGTAACTGCTGACTCATTATCACACGAACAAAGTATTTTTCAGCATAGCTGTAGCAGAAAAAGAAGTTTGATAGTAAAGTTTGGTCTGTTTTTACTGAGATTCTGTCATGTTGGACGGTTGGTGTCATAGCATGGTTCCTACACAATCTGGAGATGTCTTTTCCTTTACTCTTTAGATTGAATTAGGTAAGAAAAATAAATCCATCCATCCATGCAGTTTTTTTTCCCAAACTGTCACATGCTCATCAACTTTACATCCATCAGTTATCCTTTCACATCCTTCTTTTTGTTACCATTGTATTATACTTAGGGACCTCTTTGCCCTGTAAATACAGGTGAAAACCACATATTAATACAAGTTGTAAGAAAAAGAAAGGAAATAAAAGGTGGAACATTGAAAAAAAAAACACAAAGATGTAAATCTGAGTTATAATGTTAATGTTTAGCAATAGCAGCGTGTAAAGTCTTTAAATATTTTTGTATTACCAGAGTCTGAGATTGATTCTAAAATGTTTTATGACATTTATACAACACATAAAATATGTTTCTTCTTTTTGTTATTTTGCTTTTGTTAATATATGAAACTTTTCTAAGAATAGAATCAGATTTATGAGGAAAAAAGCAGATCAATCTTTCGAGGTAAAATCTGTAAAACCAAACAGAACATTTTAAAAATACAAAAGAAGATTGGATTTAATATTTTTAGATATAACAGCACACTTCTATCAAATATCCCTCAGTCCATCTATCCTGGTTCTATGTTTAAAGGCCGATTACTGTCAGAAGGTTATAGTGAAATGTTGTATATTTAAATAATGAATTGTACCCAAAAAAAACTAAGAACTCATAATTTCCCCTTTTGCCTCATGTAGGTTTGACATATAAGAGACAGAGCAGACTGGAGGAGGCTTTAGACTGCTTCCTGAAGCTTCATGCCATTCTGAGGAACAGCTTCCAGGTCATTTATCAGCTGGCCGACCTGTATCCCAGTCATAACACCTGTGACGCTTAATAAATCAGCCACTGTTGCTGAGGCTTTATTCCGATTGTAAACTTAAACCTTTGATATCCGTTGGCCCTTGACCTCCTGGTTTCAGCTACGAGATGCTAGAAGATCCTCAACAGGCGATCGAGTGGCTGATGCAGGTCACTCCCACAGATCCACACGTACTGGCCAAACTGGGAAAGCTGCACGACGAGGAAGGGGACAAGTCCCAGGCTTTCCAGTGCTACAATGAGGTGAGAAAGGAGACTTTTTTTTTTCATTATCCCCCTCTCTACACAATAAATAACGAAGGTTAAGTTTTCAGGCTACATTGGTGTTAAAAACACTCCCATGCATCGGACTGCTGTTCAGTCTTTCAGGTACTTTCCGTCAAACGTTGATGTGATCGAGTGGCTCGGGGCTCACTACGTGGAGACCCAGTTCTGTGAGAAGGCCATCCAGTACTTTGAACGAGCAGCTCTCATACAGTAAGTTAGTATTTGTTGACATTGGGTTTTAGATTGTACTTTTGTCCCCAGTACCATATATACAATCAGAAAACATAAAAATATCTTCTAAAGTAGTTCTAAGACATACTTAAAAAAGACATAAATAATATGAACCTACATATAAGATTTAATAATTGATTGATCCCAATAAATCGCATTTTAATCAAAAACATTATATTAACCAAATAAACAACATTTTCAATTGCTTCAATTTGCTTCTAAATTATTGCATAAATTGACTTTACAAGCCCAGAAACACAAATTTGTATTCTTTGCAATTAATTGTTTTTATTCATTATTTAGAATATAAACCCATCAAATCAATTTTAGTTATTATCATTTAGCTTATTTTATCCAGTCCGCTTTATTTATATATTACATTTTATAAAGAGGGGCATTTTCAAACTGCTGCATAGTTAAGAAAAAACAAAAACATATAGGCAAATACAGAGCAATCAGTAGAAAAAAAAAAAAAAAAAAATTAATACAATAAAGACACACAGGACCATAAAACTTGCCGTGTTAAAATACAGAGAGTAGAAATAGGTCTTAAGACAGGACTTAAAATACTCAAGTGCTGTGGTTGTTTTAAAGGAATAGTACACCCCAAAACATGATTAGCCTTCATTTTCTACTCACCCCCATGCTGAACAACACTCTGGAGTACTTTTTTGATATCTCAAATGCATCTGGAGATCTGGGAGGCTTCTTGCTGTCTGCTGACATTCAAATAATGGAGGTGCCCAGCGCCCGAGGCAGAAAGGTCCATAAAAGTCCACAAAAAACGTTTCAATATTCCTCCATACTGCTCGTCCAATGTATTCCAAGTGTCCTGAGTGGGTAGCGTCCAGAATTTACTCGAAACGAAGTCATTTAGAATGTTTTTAGAGCATAAACAGTAGTGTATAGGATTTCCTGAAAGCGCGTTCACGACGCTACGGAAACCGCGGCAGACCAACCCAGACGAAAGTGCGCATTCAGCTCGGCAAAGAACTCATGCTCTTCCTCAACACTGAAGTCCTCAGACATTTTTCTTTCGTTGTTTCTTTCCTTGCACAGGTAAACAGCACATTTCTTCTTCTACGCTTGCATTATTGGAAGAGCAGACGCTGAATGCGCACTTTCATCTGGTTTGGTCTGCCGGCTTCCGTAGCATCGTGAACGCGCAGGTGCACGCTTTCAGGAAATCCTATACACTACTGTTTATGCTCTAAAAACATTCTAAATGACTTTGTTTCGAGTAAATTCTGGATGCTACCCACTCAGGACACTTGGAATAGATTGGACGAGCAGTATGGAGGAATATTGACACGTTTTTTGTGGACTTTTATGGACCTTTCTGACTCGGGCACCATAGACCTCCATTATTTGAATGTCAGCAGACAGCAAGAAGCCTCCCAGATCTCCAGATGCATTTGAGATATCAAAAAAGTACTCCAGAGTGTTGTTCAGCATGGGGGTGAGTAGAAAATGAAGGCTAATCATGTTTTGGGTGTACTATTCCTTTAAGTCTAGCCTATGGACCATAAGTTGGAGCTGGCCCTCTGACCTCAGACTGCGTGCCAGTGTATAGAGGTCAGTGATATCCTGTGGGGCCAGCCCATTTAAAACTTTGAAAAAAACAAAATCTTAAAATCAACCCTTAATCTTTTATAGGGCATTAATTTAAATACTTTGAAAATCTAAATTTCACTCCAATAGTGTTGTTGTAGGACAGGACAAGACCTTATTACTTTTGTAACATTCAAAAAATAACAAGAAAGGCACACTTGCCCTAATATATTAAGAAAGAAATAACAAAAGTGCTTCTATAAGAAATTAATGAAAAACACAAAGTGAAAGAAACACAATTTTTTTTTGTTGCAACAGACACATTTTTTACTTTTTTTTTAACTCGGCTTTTAACTTTTTAACTTTACTTTGTAAGTGTACAACTAGCTTTTTAACTTTTCCCTTAGCTTTTTACCTTTTTTCTTAACTTTTTTTTTTCAACTTAATTGACAGTAGGTAAATTATTCAAGGCCTTAGCTAATAATATTAAAATATTAAAAAATAGAATCTGCATCCACATAGTGCCTTAGCTGAATGGCTGGATATAAATCTTTTACTTCTAGACCTTGAAGGGATGGGGGACCCCATTTGTAAGGGGTATGCAAGTGTTAAAAAACGGTAGGGTTAAACTGAACAGGCAGCCAGTACAAAGATGCTAAAACAGGACTAATTTGCCAGAATTTTTGGTCCAGTTAAAAGATGAGTCGCAGTGTTCTGGACTAACTGCACGTGTGGAAGAAAATTGTGACATATACTGAAATAAAGTGCATTTTAGTAGTCCAGGTGGGTCGAAATAAAAGAATGCCGTAGTTTAAAGATATTTTTAAAGATAAATAACGGTTTGACTTTAGCTAAAAGCAAAAGGTGATCAAATTTGGACACTCAAACTGCATTAATCTGTTGAAATTAAAATCTTCTTAATGTATATTTATTTATCTTTCCGTTATTTAGGTTATCCACCCATCAGATAGGTTGAAAGTCACAATCATTTAGGAACCCCTGATATTTTATGCAACTTCTTTTAAATATTTCTTTAGAAGTGTTGAACCCCCAGTGGATCGCTAATTTCTGCTGCTGTGTGTGGGTGTGTAGTTAGAGCCAGGAGAGCGATGTGAAAATGCAACATGACTGTTCAGACAGCGGCTGGCTGCAGACATCCGATACGGATCTGAATAAATAACAACATATGGAATTGGCACAACTGGATGTTTTTGGGCAATAAAAAGATCAGAATCTGGTCATTCAGACTGCAATGAAAAACAGTGATATGGGTCACATTTTCCTGCAGTGGGAATTTAGCTTAAGTTATGTAGAGATTATTGGTTTATATATCCGTTAGTTATACATCTGCCAGTTCAAAAATAGTCTACTTCCGTGGTTCAGATTGAACCCAACACCTGGGATACTGCTTGTATATCAGATTTAAGGTTGTACAAGAAACACCAACAGCAAAGGTTCCCGCTTAGGACTTCAGTACATATATTTAAAAAAAAATACATTTAACTATGTTAATTAACAAGAACATTTCAGCCCCTAAATTTATATATATATATATATATATATATATATATATATATATATATATATATATATACTTTTTAAATATTCAAGTGCAGTTATAATGGTGAAAAAATATTCACTGCCTCTGTTACGTCTGTAAGACATTTTTATAGGAGCAATAAGTATAATTTCTAGCCCTAGGTGGGGCTGTTGAGCACTGTTTGTTGAACAAAACATGCCTACTAAAGAATTAAATTTAGGAAACTTTATAAAGCTTTTGGCAAGAAGACGTAGTTTTGTCAAATGATCGATTTCAGATGAACGTCACATCATTTCCCATCTAAAATGATGCCTTTTCTTCACATCACTAGTATAAGAAAAGATGTATTCCTCCTTTAATGGTATTGAGCATTGTTGACAAAAAAATAACAAACAGCGAAAAGCATTAAAAACAGTTTGATTATTAAATCAAAATGTATCATTTACCTTGTATCATATAATAAAACACATGTCCACATAACTTCCTGTTGGTCATTGGCCCCAGTTAGAGGGATACTGACACGCTTTATCCCAAGTGGGGTCGCGAGAGTTGCTGGTGCCCCTCTCCAGCTGTCAACGGGCGAGAGGCGGGGTATACCCTGGACAGGTCCCCAGTCCATTGAAAGGCAATACAGACAAAAAGGAAAAACAACCATTCACACACACTCGCACCTCAGGAGAATTTAGAGAAGCCAATTAACCTAACAGTCATGTGCATGAAAACATGCAAAGTCCATGCTGAAAAACCCAAGTCCGGGAATCGAAACCGCAACCTTCTTGCTGCAAGGCAGCAGTGCTACCCACTGCGCCACTGAGCAGCTATGCTTGGGTACTTTACATTTAATAGATAACCTATGTATCTTACTAACAGGACAGTGTTTAATTATTGTATAATTATCTCATTTTCATGGTAAAATGACTAATTTCATTTTGACATTATTTTATTTAATATCTCAAATTAAGAGAAAATACACCTATTTCAATAATTTTTGGGATCTGTTAGTGAGCAGGTCTGTTTCTGCTTTGTCTCGTAGGCCCACCCAGGTGAAGTGGCAGATGTTAGTCGCAAGCTGTTATAGAAGAAGCGGTGAGAATAAAACCTGTTATTTATTTTTTCCTCTCATCAGACCGATCAGCAAAGTCAATTTGCATCATCATCCAGTTTGGGGAATGCTTTAACTTCTCTCCCTCTCTTCTTTTAGGAAACTATCAGAAAGCTCTTGAAACCTACAAAGAGATCCATCAAAGGTTTCCAGAAAACACGGACTGTAGGTTATACTTTTGTTTGTGTCTAAGGTTTTATTAAATATTAAATTTGAAGTAGAACATAAGAAATGCGTTTCTGTGTTTGTGTTCAGGTCTAACCCTCCTGGTGAGGCTCTCGGCTGACATGGGACTGAAGGAAGTCCAAGATTTTGCAACCAAGCTGAAGAAGTTGGAGAAGATGAAGGAGATGAAAGAGCAGGTTTGTTTGAGACTTTTTAAAGATATAACTTAGAAAAAGCACTTTGTTGCATTTTTGCTGCTCAGATGAATAATTTGTACTCTCTTGTTGAAGTATTATCTGCAGTTTCTGTGACCAGACCAACTCATGGTTAAGAACAACTTTGATAATTTAACTTTATTTACGGAGTCAGTATAATCTAACCAGCATCCATTAAGTTGCAGCTTGTAGCTGTGGATGACACTTACACTGTGTGGTTCACTTTACCTCTTCCTGAACAAGCATATGGCTACAGTGGAGAGAAAAAACCTCCCCTTTAACATTTTATCGATAAATAAAGATCACTGCACATCTAAAGAGGCAAAATCATGATTGTAAATGTGATCTGCAGTCTATAAGGGTGACCTTTGTCTTAAAGCTGACTTTTTTAAAGAATACCACCAGTAATCTAATGCTGTCTACTGTATGTGATATGTTACTGTACATTAAGTACAACAAACTAAAGAAGTTAAGTTCAAATTGAAATTATGAAAGTTTAAAATCCAATTTAAAAAATGTAAAATTGAAGTTCCTTTCTTTGCATTAATTTTCTGAGGATTATGTTTTAATGAAGCAAATTGTTTCTCTTTCTGTAAGTGTTTTCAAACACTTTTTTTTCATTTTTTTTTTACCATATTAGGGCAAGTGACTATTTCTGCTAATAAGATTGACCTAGATTTACAAGGTCAATGTAACTTTGACCTATAAGGTTACATAGTTGTTGTTGCAATAGTAACAACTATTGTTGTTGTTACAATAGTTGTTGTTACTTTTGCAACAACACATTATCAGTAGGGTAAAACTAACCTGTGTCATGATGGTAATATTAAAAAATTACTTTTTTAATATTACAAAAGCAATTAGTTGTGTTTCTGTCATTCAATAACACTGTTGTGTTTAAATGTTGAATTTCATAATATTTCACTGACCCTATAAAGGGTTAACAGGAAGAAATCGAGACTCTGTATCAGGGTCCTGCTGCCCAGACCCACTAGGTCTGAGAAAACACACCAAAGAAATTAGGAATACTTTATCAGAGATATTTTTCTTTAAACATAAAAACATAAAGCATTTCATAAAGCATTTCTATTAACTCCCTTATATTCTACCCCTTAAAATATATTGAATAACCAGCATCATGAAGACCATGGGACACAGCAGGCAGGAGAAGTTATGGATATGGGGGTTAAAGGTCTTGCTTAGGGACCCAGAGTGGCAGTCCATGGGAGTGGGACTTGAACTCAGAACCTTTGGATTCCAAACGCAATGCCCTAGCCACTAGGGTCGCCACTCCCCAAAGCAAGCATTAGCGTCAAGGGTCTTGCTTAAGGACCCACGCTGGCAGCTCATTCCCTCCAGCTGGGAGGGAATGAGCTGCCAGCACCCAGGTGTGCAGGAAGCCTTGGCTTGTGACTTACCACTTGAGCTAGCTGGTTAGTCCCGTGACTTACCACTTGAGCTAGCTGGTTAGTCCTGTGACTTACCACTTGAGCTAGCCAGCTGTAATTTTTAGCCACTAGGAGTTCTAGACCTGTAACTTCCAGGTTTTCCTCCCTGAAAGCTTCTGACCACACTGCAGTTACACTAAATTAACCAGTCTCCTTTTGTGTTTTTTGAATCTAATAACAGACAGACTCACTGCATGAAAAGTGGGATTTTCGTCAATATGCGGCACTGTAGATTGTCGTGGAACTTCAGGTTAGCGGCAGTTTACGACAATTTGCAGGCTTCGCCGAAAACTCCCGTAAATTGTCAGAAATTGACGTGGACTCTCTTAGGCAGTGTTCCCCCCATGCCTCCCCCCCATGGAATTCTAGGGGAGGCTTTAACATGTAAATGAACATGCTGTGAGCTATACAAATGCAAACCAGGGTTGCAGGGGGGGTTTTACCCCAAGTGACATCTTTCTGGGTAAGAAAATCTCTGATACAAAGAGATCAGGCTCAGTATAGCCTCTTACATTTTAGCTTGAATTGATTTATTTAATTAAAGTATAGAGACCAAAACAGATCTTTAGCTGACAGAGCAATACATTTAGAGCAGTAATTATAAAAAAAAAAATTTGCATTTAAGATAAAAAATAAAATGTTGTCTGTCAATATGCTCAATTCACAATTACTTAAGTGGAAAAGTTTCAAGAAATGAGTCTGAGATGATTTACTTTATAACATGGCGCATTATCCTGTTGGAAGTAGCCATGAGAAGATTGGTACACTGTGGTCATAAGGTCTGGCCAGGTCAAGATCCGCAATTGTTATCGCACCAAACAGGAAAAAGAACATCGACAAATTCCGGTTCGTCAAATTAAAATATAGCAGCAACAGATCGTTGACTAGAAATTATAACACAATTCTTATATATATATATAAAAAAAAAAAAAACTAACACCGTTTATTTAAATGATTGGATCCAAACTATTGGTTATTCACCAACGAGGAAGCAGATTTCTCATCTCCATCAAAATATTTATTTTATACCGAGGGACTTAAACTTTAATCAAATCCATTCAAAAGAAACTTCTTATTACAGGAATGAAAAGAGATGCTGAGTTTGGAAGTAGTGAACAAGTTCATTAAAAAAAAAGCAGTTTTGAATTATCCTTATCCCCGTTACAAAAATCTACAAAAATATATATATATATTTGGGCAGAAACTGAACATAGGCTGGATGATGGTGGGATTTTTTTAATATGTCATATTAAATTAAGCGCTCACAGGGTTCATACACGAATGAGTGACTCTAATTTAATGCTATTTTAATGCTATTTGAAATGATTTTAATGCCATCAACAAGAACCATGTACACAAGTTATTAGTGTACATGAAATATGAAGGAGCTGCAAGCACAGTTCCATGACTCCTGTATGTATGTAAACACATACACATATATACGTATATATATATCCTCTAGCTATATAACATATTTAAATAATTTTAGTGCCAATTAAGGCCTTGATAAAAAAAAAAAAAAGAATGATTTTTTAATTATTTTTATTGATCCGCGGACACCCTGGTTCATCTCGCGCATGCTCTGTACGATCTCCAAGAAACTCAGAGCGGCGCGGCTGGATCCACAGTGGAGGATGGATGCTTTGCTTTGTGCAGGCGGTCTGGAGCGGAGTATGGGGGATTTCGGGGTAAAACTCCTCTTGGACGCGATGGCGACTCTGCATCGAACAAGACGAACTCAAAGAAGAGATGCTAGCGGTAAATATATGTTCGATTACTGCCTGCTAAGCTAAAAGCGGCCTAGCCTGAGCTACGGCTAATAGCGGCTAATAGTAGCCTTGCAAGAACAAGCATTATTAAAGTGTATTTTTTGTGATTTACAGGAAGCAGTACGCCGTCTTCACAACTCGGAGACTAATTGCAGGCGCTATGAACCGGAGCAAGGGTAAGATTTAAAGAATATGCTTTCATTCTGCGGTAAAAGGTAATGGATACCGATCATAGCTTTACATTTTGTTTTCACAGGCCTCCTATTTGCTCGGAGCCATCTCGGCAAGTCCAGATTTGCACGATGTTGATAAAGACAACATTGTGTGTAAGTGACTTGTTTTAATGTTTTCTCCTTCCTTGTTACTGTGACTTGCGTTTGATTTTTTATTTATACCACTCTCATTTAATTGTTTTCCAGCTGCCTGTAAGACGTATTTTCAGACGGTACGCAGGAGCTTCAGATATACGCAGCCAGTCAACACGCTGCGTGCGGAGGCTATCTGCTCGGAGTCGGGCCAGAAGAAAGAGGGTAAGACTTTATTTGGTGACTATTTTTCAGGTGCATTGATAGATGTGTTGTGTCCATACGCAGTGCGCTGATTCATTGTTTTTTTTTCAGCTGCTGAAAGCGAGGCAGAGTGTGCTGGCAGATGAGGAAGTGGAACACTGGAAGTCCGCCTTCCTCGGCGGTGTCTCTGGATGGATTGTGCGGTCGCCGCCATTTCGTAGGCCGGATCTCACTGAACTATGTGTTAAGCTGCAGTCCCGGTTAGAAGCGATGCCAAAGTACAGGGCCACGCACAGTAGGCGTCTGCACATCGGACCTGCCTCGGAGGGAATGCTGCCAGTTACCTCCAACCCCGAGGAAGCAAACGGACCGTTCACGGACTTTTAATTTTTAGAAACGCATGTGTTTGGATACGCGTTGTATATAGTTGTGTGTGTTTTAATAAAGCTCTTTCTTTGCATAAAAAGCTTCCTGGCAAATCTTCATTTCCTGTATAAATTCATTCATGTCCTTGATGGTAGCATACTAATTGTGTAGTAGTGTAGGATAACATAAATACACACCATATGAATGAATAAATATATGAATGAATAAATATATGAATGAATAAATAAATATATATATATATATGAATAAATATATATATGTAAATTTATATGTAAATATATATATATATGCCAACCAATCACGAGCGACTTTACTTGTTTAAAAAGAAGTGGTTCCGTCCAATACTCAGAAAGAAAATTAAAGCCTGGCGTGGCCACGTGTGGTTTTGCTGCCAATCACGAGCGATTTCACTTGTTTGAGAATAGTGGTTTCAGCCAATACTGAGAAGGTTATTCAAGCCATACTTGGCCAGCCGCGCGGGTTTGCTGCATTCATATGCTAATTAGGGCCATTAGTACAGCTGATCGCTCTCCACATACGTCATGGTACGTTTCCGACAATTTGTGGCACGACAAACGCGGACAAGCACGGTTTGCAAATTGTCGGAAGCTGACGAAAATCAGGCAGATCTGCGGGAGTTTACGGGGGTTTACGGGGACGAAAATCTCACTTTTCATGCAGTGACTGCTGTGGGGCAGCAGAGTGAGATGTCATAGAGGACAAATTTAAATCTTGCATCCGAAAACCAAAATTATGTTTGACCAGTTTTCCTGACTAACAGTAACTTTTTAGCTTAGTTAGCTCCGTGTTTTAAGAGGAGATAAAACTGTCATAAAGCAACATTTGGGCTCACATGACCCATTAAATGACGGAACTGGCCCCTTTATGAAGCATCAATACGCACCAAGTGCTGAAACCTGAAGAATATTTTAAAGGACCTCAAATTAAGACATTATTTGGGACAAAAGTTACATAGTGTTGGTATAACGCAAGGAAGGGTTAGAACACAAGACCTCCCCAAGCTCTTCTAGAGAGAGAGAATGTCACAACGACAGGATCCACATGAGCTGACAGAATAGAGAAGTATGAAAGGAAATATGACCATTATGCAGTTTAATTCTTTTCCATGGGAAAGTCTTCCCTAGGCTCTTATGTTTGCCCCATCATACCTTCTCATCCCTCACAAAATGTGCTGCATGGCAATCCACGGCCTAAACGCTTGGGTTCCTTCTATGTATTTCCTTTTATTCTGAAATGTGCTGCTTCTCTCTCCCAGTGTTTGACTTCCTGTCTGGCTCATTTGGTTTTCTGACGTAGGGTGTGTTCGATTTTAAAGGCTGTGTCTTCCAAGAACACGGTCTATCTGGACTAGATCCTTCGAGGTCTGTAAAAATAAGGAGACCGGAAGAGTTTTGGTTTTTAATTCAAACAGGTCTAGCCTTCTGCAGCTTTTACCGCCGTACGCTCTGTCACCTTCTTTGTGTATCAACTGTCAACCGTGACAATTGACACACAAAGCAGGAAAAGAATGAATACCGAACTTCTCACTGCTTTTCTGGGTGTTAATAACATTTTTGAGAAGCTTTAACAGCTGCATCGTATCAGATTAATAGTCCCCAGCACTGCAGCTATATTAGAATCCATGCTTAAATATTAGCCAAACCCATTTACACAGGGACAGATAAAAACCTTTCAATAAACCAAACATTACCCACCACATTTCTGACTCAATAACCGTTTAAAACAAGTATTTTTCGTAGTATTTTCAGATGGAACAATTCACATACTTGTATTATGGTTAATTGAACTTCCAATATTCACCACTGTTCAGCACCAAGTACCTTTATTTCACTGAGCACGGAGATGCTGGCTTGCTTGGACTCGCAATGTAGGATACACTGAAGCCGTCCTTCAAAGTGGGCAAAAAGACAGATGCATTTGTCATCTGCATACCGAGGAGTCTTCCAATTCGAACAGACCTCGGTGCCACGCTATGACGTAAGCACTCTACAAATCTGGCCTTCGCAAGACGCATCTCATGATTTTGAACTCAGCTACTGATATGTTTTGCTCCATTAGCCACTAAAAATGGACTCAATCCATATTTCTCAGGAATGAAGGTGGGGGGACTGCCTTTCATGCCGCGGTGCCACAGAGCCGCTGGGAACACTTTAACCAACTCTAATGGACTCATAATTGCTAGATTTTACTAGGTGACATCATCAAATAATTTGCATATTTGGTAATACTTTGATCCAGCCACAGGGGTAAGGAAAATTAACTCCTACAAGACAGAAAATTATTATAAACACTATGATTAAGACTAAAAATAACCATAATATAACCATAATTCTAAGTTATTTATCTGAATCAAAGCTACATAAATCAATCCTATGTTATCAAATTAAATGTAAACATAGTTAGCAAAGCCACACAGTGGATGAAGCTATGTTTGAATTGAATGTAGAGCGGCTGTATTTTAGTGCAACAGAAGAAAAAAAAGCATGTTTTTATGGATGTTTTATGCATTTCCAATGTTGGAGGGGGGATCAGTGGAAGCTTTGTGTAACTCATTTTAAATGGGAAACAGAGGAGAGTCTATCTGACTGTCAGATGTTTGGAGGAGTTTGCAGAAACCCTGAGTGCCATGAAACTCAGTCAATTTTTACTGGATTTGATTTATTTATTTTTTGTCGATAGCAGGGTAGAAAAAGTCCCTAATTAAAGAGGGAGAAGTCACTAAGTTTTTAACAGTGGCTGGAAATGGTTTAGAGCAGCTTCTATTGGGGACACAACAGAGCTTTAACAGATGAGGGAGTTTGTGTGAATGAAGTTTAGTCTGGTCACTGATTTACAGGCCAATCCTTGAACCCGTTGAAGGATCTAAAAGACTCTAGTCTGAGTCTGAAGTCTAGCGTTCATCAGAAAAAAACAAAGCAAACAACCCCTAACCATACAGCGTTGTAAACTGATGTTCACAGGCGTTCTTGCAGCTGGGAGGGCATCTAGAATGGTTATATGTTCAACTAAAAAAAGGACGCTTTATGTTAAAAGTATAACTTTTCTCTCACTGTACAGTTATACAATACCACATGTTTAGGAAATCCTGATAAAAGGACTTTTAACACCATACAACTTTGTGTGTTTAAATACTTTTGCAAAGTAGAGATAATAGTAGCAAGAAATTTAGAATGCTGGAATGGGGAATCCCTTTGATTACCTGTTAATATAGTGTAGGATTTAGTGAAAATGTAGGTTTTAAATTTTGTAACCGTTTTCCCAAATATCTAATCTTCTGTTGGATTCTTGATAATTTAAAACACCATAACCTGTGGTATTTAATTGTTGTCTTGTGTTTTTTAATTACGTCCTGCCCTTTCATTAATTATTTTATGGTGTTGTCGTCTTGTCTGTGCTTTAACCTTGAACATGCTGAGTGAAAACAGGCTTGTGTCCCTTTTTTGCTGCAAATTTTTTTTTACTGGAAACAAGTGGAGACCAGATGATTTTCTCTGCTGTTTTCCGTGAACCGGATTGTGTCGACAGGAGAGCAGATGCTGAACAGCTGTTTAATGCCTGGCTGTCGGTAACCTAAGCCTCTAACACAATTTAGTTTATGTGGAGGTTTTCAGATTGGAACCAAAGGGAGTTATTTCAGCGATGCCTGAAATAATAATTTTCTGTGCTTCATAAAACTATTTTTATCCCTTCATTTTTCCCACATTTCATCATGTCAAAACCACAAACCGCGATCCGTTCTTTAGGGATTTTTTGGGATCGATCAACATGACATACTGCATAATTGTAAAGTAAAATGTTTTCAATTTTTTGTTTTTTGGTAAAAAAATAATAATCTTGGAGCTCCTCTTTGTTATTGTTCCCACCCCGTATGCTGTTTTTCTTGGTCTTCCTGATACGGTTTGTTTTTTAATCATCTCTCAAAGCAGCTACAAAGAGATGTTGCACAACTGCAAGCCAGCTGCTTAGAAACCTTCTTGGAATTGAGTTAAAACTCTGACATCCAGGAGAACATTTAGACCCTTGTTCAGGAATGGTATTTTCCTTTAAGATCTTCTCTCCATTCGCTGTAAATACACAGCAGAAGGGAAGGAGCCTCCAATGTTCCATCACTTGCTGGTAACACAGGAGACCTTAAGGATTCATTCAGGAGGACGAGTTTATCAAACCACATACAGTTGGTTCTAAATCTGTGATTTCAGTGAAATGGACAGTTCTGCTGGAGGTTTCTTCCTGTCAAAAGGGAGTTTTTCCTCTCCACTGTCGCTACAAGCATGCTTAGTGTGAGGGATTACTGAAGAGTCAATGAGTCGATGCAATCAACTGGTTTTCCTTAGATAGAAAACTTTGAATCAATTTGACTGGATGTATTCTAACACAACCTGTGTTTTTTATCACTCTGTATTATCAGCATGAAGGTGAGCTAATATCTCCTATGGTCGTTGTTTGAAACCCGTTAAACACACACTGCTAGTTATTTTAAGGTCAAGTAAATTGATTGTCTTCAACATCAGATTTAGAAATGTACTTGAGTTAAAAATCTCTGTTGTATTTACAATAAATTAATTCAGAGCCAAACCAGGTTGTCTGAACTATTAATATTTATGTATTTTTTTGTGTGAAATCTTCCTCATTTTTTCATCCATTGTTTCTGTGGCAGAGGGTGAAGTCAGGCAGAGAGAGCAGTGCCAGGGGTCGCAGAGAAGGCAGGGAAGGCGGCGCTGGGAGTGCTGGTGAGTCACACACATTGATCTCCCCTAGGTTGGAAACACCTCAGCTGAATCTTCTTCATGTAGAGGAGCAGCGACTCTTGTCTAACCCTCACTTGAATAGTCTCATTCCAGCCACTCTATGGTGCAGTGTCTGAATTTTTTGTATCATAACCCCCCCTCCCACAGGGGCAGACATTTGTTCATACTACCCCCTTAAATTGATTACCTGATAATGATTTTCTTATATATTAAGAGTTAATGAATCAGTAGGAAGTGCATTTTTGTAGAACTTTCAATATTGTTTTTTTTTTTTTTTTTTTCTGGAAGCACATTAAACCTTTGTCTCATCAGCGCTTTCCCTTTCACTCAGTAAAAAAGGTTCAACTACATAATATTTGCATTTCTCTACATCAGTGCTCTGTAAGGCTGGTCCTCAGGACCTGCTTGTTTTATCATTTAAATAATTTCAAACATAAATGTTTGAAACATTTTCCTGCCTCCACACACCTTATCTCCATAAACATAAGGCCTCTGCAGCACTTTATGGCTACTGAGGAGGTGATGCCATCATTGATTCATGAAAGGTTAAAAGAAATAAGTCCAATTATTTACTGGTATAACTGGGGTGCAGTCTCCAGGTTGTGTCTCAGTTTGCTTGCTTTTGTGCTATCGACATGTCTTTCATAATTTTCCACTGTATTAATGATGAGTCCAACGGTAAGGAAGGATTATCATATTTTGGATTTTATGTTCTCCTCCATTTCTCGAAACCCCTCCATTTTTTTTTTTAATCTGATGACAAACTTCTCCATGGCCCATGGCCCAGTCTCAACACTCACATAAAACACTAAGCCCCTCTATGAAGTGTGCACCTGGAGGAAGTGCACTTAAGCTTTTGAGTGTGCAGGTCACAAGCACGCAAAGTCTGGAGAACTGGGATAGTAATTTCTCCCCACATTGTAATGTAGACATTGAAAGTGACAGAACATATCCATGTTTTTGTGATGTTACTGCTACAAAATATATTTCTAAACTGCAATAAGTGTTCCTCCATGTACAGTAAAATACAAACTATTTCAAAAATTACTACTGAAAACAAGTTTTCTCAACACAGGCACTGGAGCTTACTTTTTGTTTTTTTTTATGGTTTACCTTATTTACAAAATAAACAAGGGAAATCAAACACGATGATTAACTGTGTGCAAGACATATCTTAAGTGACGACAGGTTTATTAAAAAACACTCAGAACATACAACAACATGTGGGGGGAATAAGTCCAGCTGGATCAAAATGCAAGGGGGAAAACATGAAACTAAGGGCATTTTAAAATAAATATTCAGACATCTCATAGCATATTTTTCCTTATTTTTTATGTTTTCAATGTTTTATAGAGAAGTTACTAAAATATAATTTAAGTTAAGAATGCATGACTATAATCCATTTGCAGTAATGAATATGTGAACAATAGAAGGACTAAGTTAGACATCTAATGTAGAATCTATATGCCAATTAGAAAATGAAAGTGTTACCATAACCCGATGTGATAAGTTAGACCTGAGCACTTAACAAAAAAAATTTGGAAAATTCTTTCCTCTGTATTTTAACTCAACCTCTCCCATCTGGGACCGGGGTGGGGGGTCAATCGCAGCAGAGAGTTTTAGACTTCCAAGACTTCCCTATCTCTTAGGGAGACCCGAGCCGCCATGCATCCATCAATTTTCCGTCAAGCTTATCCCAATCAGGGTTACAAGGGGTGTTGGTGCCCCTCTCCAGCTGTCTACGGGCGAGAGGCAGGGTACACCCTGGGACACGTTGCCAGTCTATTGCAGGGCAACACAGAGACAAACAGAATGTGATGGAGCGCCACTAAGCGTCCATCCCAGACTCTAAGTATCCGTGCTTCCTCTGGCCCAGGGGAGCGCGGTGCCAGGAGCGCGCGCACGGGGAGAAAGCTCTCCCACGTGAGTGCGCTGCCCGGCAAACAGCTGCGTGCAGGCCCGCACCTCTGTCCCGCGGTCCTGCACAGTCCCAACGAACATTCCCCCCCCGTCTGAACCGGTCATCGCGCGCGTCTGAGGGTGCACACTCGGCGCCGAGTTCCACAAACACTCACCTCTCATCTCTGCTTCAGTCCCGCTGTTCCTGGTTAAGGGGCCAAACCAGAGCACTTCCGCGTCACGGAAATAGCGCGGAGTGGCGCGCTTTGCCAGTCACGTGACGAAGGACTCAACCATTTTGGGTGTTTTGTTTTGTATTTTTATATTGTTTATGTTCCTGACATTTTGAACATTGTATGGAGTCATTTTGGTTAATTTTTAGTTTCTATGCAGGAAACTGAGTTTTGAGTTTTGTTATTTGGTTATTTTGTTTTTATCCTTAAAAACCCCTTAATTTGTATTTTGGTTTACCCGGGGGAGGGGCTAAAGGGGTATTTAAAGGGGAGCTGAGCTCATTTGAGGGGGAGTACTGGATCTGATGGTAGAGTTGGCTGTCCAAGTAAGTTGTCCTGTAAATACTTGTTTTTGTTTTCTCGCTTCACTGTAAATATCGTCACTGTTTCACTATTTCCACCTGGGGAGCAATAAAAGAAAAAAGCACAAACAATATTTTTTCCGGCTGGGCCATCATTTTTTTGTATTTTTGCAAGGAACCCGTGACATTTGGTGTCAGAAGTGGGATGGCCGGTCGACGGAAGCACCCTACAGTGAAGCGTACAGGGCTGCGCTCACAAAAAGTGAAGCAGGACTTACCTGTGGACGATGGAGGCTGGGCAACTGAAGATGAGGAAGGTGGCGCTGCTGCCTCAATCACGCAGCCTGCACCAAGTGCAAGTGAGGAGCTTGTGGAGGTCATGAGGACATTTTTAAAAGGACAGGAGCGGAGGGACGAGGGGTTTTTGGCGGAGCTGAGAGGGCTTCGGGCCACCTTCCCAGCCCCACAGTGGTCTGTCCCTGTGTCAGGACCTGCATCACCACCCGAGGAGTCAACACCGAGTCTCCGGGTGGACCTCCCCACGCCAGCTCCTCGGCAGCGCCGCGGTTTCTCCGAGGAGCCCCCAAGGATCAGCATGGAGAGAGCTGAACCCTCCAGACATGAGGGCCGGCTCTACGGCGACCCCAAGATCCCTCAATATGTCTCAGGGGAGGACATTGAAAACTACCTGCTACGCTTTGAGCGCATCGCAAGAACTTGGGGTTGGCCAGAAGGTGAGTGGGCATGTCGGCTGGTGCCCTTACTCACCGGGAAGGCGTTGGAAGCTTACACAGCCATGGATGAGGAGTTGGCGCACTCCTACCCAGACTTGAAAGCTGCACTGCTGATCAAGTTTGATGTTTCACCGGAGACCTACAGACAGCAGTTCAGGTCCATGTCTGTGCCACCCGGAGAGAGCTCGACCGAGACCTACCACCGTCTGAAGGGGCTGTACCGGCGCTGGATCCGGCCGGAGCAACACTCCAAGGAGCAGATCGGGGAGCAGATTATCCTGGAGCAGCTTCTTCGCGTCCTCCCGGCAGACGTTCGCACCTGGGTGAAGGAGCATGAGCCGACAGAGGGGCTAGCCGCAGCCAAGCTCGCGCTGCAGTACCGCAACGCACGGAGGGGAGGCCCAGCTGCTTACCAGGATGTTCGTCAGCCGTCGTCACAACCCAGAGCCAGCTTCCACCCACCTAGAGATCCCGGGCCTGCACCCAGCCAACGTGGTCCTGGTTAGGAGCTCATCTGTTTTTATTGTCAGCAGTCAGGACACAAAGCTGCCCTGTGCCCAATCAGAAAGGCTAAGCTTACCGGGGCATGTTACACCCCACGGGCTGAGGACATGCAAGGGGTAGGGAGAAAACAGTGGTTCAAAGAGGTGTGCATTAATGGGGAACCTGTGACTGCTCTGGTGGACTCAGGGAGCTTCATGACTCTTGTGCGGAGGGACATTGTGCCAACGGGCTTGTTGGATTACAGTAAGCAGGAGGACATTTGTTGTATACACGGGGACAGACATTCTTACCCCACGGCGGACATGACGGTGATGGTGGATGACCAACCATATTTACTTACTGTGGGGGTGGTGGAGAAGTTACCGGTAGCCGCTATCTTAGGCTGGGACTTACCTGTACTCCTGGATTTATTGCGGGAGGAGGGGGCTGAGGAGAGTGACTGTGACAAGGGTTTGGCTGGTCCTGTGTTAACCCGGGCTCAGTTCCGGGCAGGGGAGGCACCCAGTACAAAGCAGCAGACGGAGCCGGAGCCTGAACCTTTTTCCAAATTGGACAGTGACCTGTCTGAGGGGGGTAAAAAGGGTCCAAGGAAACCATATAGCCAGCGGAGGTTCGAGAGGGGCCTGAAGTTAAGGGAGCCAGTCTGTCAGGGGCTGGACAAAGACTTGTGGGAGGTACCTGGGGACATTGGGGCTGTGCAGAGACAGGATGAGACTCTGAAACCAGTGTTTGCCAAAGTGGTTGGGGGGCTGGACAGTGCCAAGGGGAACAGAGAGAGCTATGTTATCGATGAAAAGAATGTTCTGTATTTAGTGTCAGACGGTGTCAAGCGCCTCGTTGTTCCCTCGTCTTGCCGCCAAAGGATCATGCACTTGGCTCACACCTTGCCTTGGGCTGGTCATCTGGGTCGCAACAAAACATACATGCACATCGCTTCCCGTTTCTATTGGCCCTCCATGTACTCTGATGTTCAAACTTACTGCAAAACCTGTCCCACCTGTCAAAAAACCTGCTTTGTCCGCCAATCTGACCGTGCTTGCCTCCAACCTCTACCTGTCATCTCCACCCCATTCCGGCGCATAGCCATGGACATTGTGGGCCCGCTCGTGCGAAGTAGTGGGGGCTACCAGTACATCCTGGTGATCTCAGACTACGCAACACGGTACCCCGAGGCGTTCCCCTTGCGCACCGTCACTGCCCCTGCTGTGCTGCGTTGTCTTGTGCAACTTTTTTCCAGGGTCGGTGTGCCGGATGAGATCGTGACGGACCAGGGGACCAACTTCACTTCCCGACTCATGCAGCTCTTCCACCGCCAGCTGGGGATCTCGGCGATCAAGACCACTCCGTATCACCCGCAGACGGACGGCTTGGTCGAGCGGTTTAACCAGACCCTGAAGAAGATGCTGCAGAAGTTCGTGGACGACACTGGACGTGACTGGGACCAGTGGCTGCCCTTTGTGCTGTTCGCCTACCGAGAGGTGCCGCAGGCATCCACCGGATTCTCCCCGTTCGAGCTGCTGTATGGCTGGGACGTCCAGGGCCCATTGGACTTGCTGCTGAAGGTCTGGGAGGCTCCCACCACGGCTACTAGTGATTGGAGTGTGGTGCAGTTCGTGCTGGAGATGAGAGAGCGCCTGGCCAAGTATCGGGAGGAGGCTGAGGTCAACCTGCGAGAGGCCCAGCAGACACAGAAGGCCTGGTACGACAGACAGGCCAGACATCGAGAGCTCCAGCCTGGCCAGAGGGTCCTGCTCTTGCTGCCATCCTCCACCAGCAAGCTGTTGGCCAAGTGGCAGGGTCCGTACTCTGTCCTGAGGAAGATGGGCCCTGTTACTTACGAAATACACCACCCTGACAAGAAGAAAGCCAAACAGACTTACCACGTCAACCTACTGAAAGAGTGGAGAGAGGCCGTCCCAGTCTCTGCTCCTGTGTTGTCTCTTCTCGTGGCTGAGGTCGACAGCGAGGGTGACGAGGAGCTGCCTCTTGTTGACCTCCACCAGCCGCCTCCACCCACTCTCGACCATCTCTCTATCACCCAGTCCAGCCAGCTCAACGAGGTCTTCCGGAGGGTCTCCAATCTGTTTGCTGCCAACCCGGGGAGGACTGTCTTGATCGAGCACGTCATCCGCCTGAAGGACAAGGGGCCCATTCGCCAGCGGTCCTACCGGGTCCCTCAGCATCTGGTGGCGCAGCTACTGAAGGAGGTGGAGGAGATGCAGCGTCTGGGGGTGATTGAGCCGTCAACGTCCGAGTGGTGCAGCCCAGTGGTCATCGTGGTGAAGAAGGATGGGTCGCTCCGCATCTGCATTGACTTCCGGAAGCTCAACGCCCTGTCGGAGTTCGACGCCTACCCGATGCCCCGGATCGACGACCTACTGGAGAAGATCGGCCGGGCCCGGTTCATCACCACCCTCGATCTCTGCAAGGGCTACTGGCAGGTGCCTCTGGAGCCGTCCAGTCGTCCCTACACGGCGTTCCAGACCCCTGCAGGATTGTTCCAGTTTACGGTGATGCCGTTTGGTCTCCATGGGGCCCCCGCAACCTTTCAGAGGCTAATGGACCGTGTTTTACAGGGTTGCAGTGACTGCAGTGCTGCTTACCTGGACGATGTAGTAATCTTCAGCGACACTTGGGAGCAGCACTTGCAGCATCTGGAGAGGGTCCTTGGCAAGATCGAGCAGGCGGGACTGACGCTGAATCCTGCCAAGTGTCAGTGGGCCAAGGAGGAGGCGCAATACCTTGGCTATCGGCTGGGTCGAGGTGAGGTCCGTCCGCAGGTCGACAAGGTGGAGGCGATCCGCAGCTGCCCACGGCCTCGCACGAAGAAGGAGGTGAGGTCCTTCTTGGGTTTGGCCGGCTGGTATCGGAGGTTCGTGCCACAGTTTGCCACCATCGCCGCTCCTTTGACCGCACTGACGGGAAAGGCTCAGCGGAACCCTGTCGTCTGGAGTGAGGACTGTGAGACCGCCTTCCAGACCCTCAAGACCTGTCTCTGCTCGTCGCCGGTGCTGCGGAGTCCGGACTTCAATCAGCGGTTCTTGGTCCAGACCGACGCCTCTGCAGTGGGTCTCGGGGCTGTCCTGGCACAGGGAGATCCAGGAGAAGAACGCCCTGTGCTGTACCTAAGCCGCAAGCTGCTTCCCCGAGAGACCAGGTACTCAGCTGTAGAGAAGGAGGGCCTGGCCATCAAGTGGGCTCTGGAGAGCCTGAGATATTACCTTCTGGGGAGAGAGTTCGACCTGGAGACCGACCATCGTGCCCTGATATGGATGAACTCTATGAAGGATCACAACAGTCGACTCACCCGCTGGTATCTCCCTCTCCAACCCTTCCGATGCCAAATCCGCCATCGGGCGGGGAAAACTAATATTGTGGCAGATTATCTCTCCAGGTTGCCGCACGTCGTCAACCTCGGGGAGGAGGCGGATAATGTGATGGAGCGCCACTAAGCGTCCATCACAGACTCTAAGTATCCGTGCTTCCTCTGGCCCAGGGGAGCGCGGTGCCAGGAGCACGCGCACGGGGAGAAAGCTCTCCCACGTGAGTGCGCTGCCCGGCAAACAGCTGCGTGCAGGCCCGCACCTCTGTCCCGCGGTCCTGCACAGTCCCAACGAACATTCCCCCCCCGTCTGAACCGGTCATCGCGCGCGTCTGAGGGTGCACACTCGGCGCCGAGTTCCACAAACACTCACCTCTCATCTCTGCTTCAGTCCCGCTGTTCCTGGTTAAGGGGCCAAACCGGAGCACTTCCGCGTCACGCTGGAAATAGCGCAGAGTGGCGCGCTTTGCCAGTCACGTGACGAAGGACTCAACCATTTTGGGTGTTTTGTTTTGTATTTTTATATTGTTTATGTTCCTGACATTTTGAACATTGTATGGAGTCATTTTGGTTAATTTTTAGTTTCTATGCAGGAAACTGAGTTTTGAGTTTTGTTATTTGGTTATTTTGTTTTTATCCTTAAAAACCCCTTAATTTGTATTTTGGTTTACCCGGGGGAGGGGCTAAAGGGGTATTTAAAGGGGAGCTGAGCTCATTTGAGGGGGAGTACTGGATCTGATGGTAGAGTTGGCTGTCCAAGTAAGTTGTCCTGTAAATACTTGTTTTTGTTTTCTCGCTTCACTGTAAATATCGTCACTGTTTCACTATTTCCACCTGGGGAGCAATAAAAGAAAAAAGCACAAACAATATTTTTTCCGGCTGGGCCATCATTTTTTTTGTATTTTTGCAACGAACCCGTGACTCAGAACAAACAACCATTCACGCACACTCTCATACCTATGGAGAATTTAGAGCAGCCAATTAACCGAACAGTCATGTTTTTGGATTGTGGGAGGAAGCCAGAGTACCCAGAGAGAACCTATACATGCTCAGGGAGAACATGCAAACTCCATGCAGAAAGACCCCGGGCGGGGAATCGTAATCGCAACCTTCTTACTGCAAGGCAACATTGCTAACCACTGTCGGCCACGATTCAGATTTCATGACCATAGATGAGGGAATGTAGACCATCCAGTAAATTAAGCGGTTTGCCTTTCACTCTGAACAACGACAGACAGCCACCTTTTTCCGTTTGAGAACCTTGGCCACCTTGACGCTCTGCTTCAAACCGTCTCAGCACATGCTGTAGGTCTTAGCAGGAGGGAGCCAGCAGAACCACAGCATCCTCTCACAGTAGGGACGAGATCCGCTGGTCTGCCAACCAGATCCCCTCCAGTCTTTGGCTGCCGCTAAAATCCTGTCCATAAAGGTTATGAACAGGACCGGTGACAGAGGACAGCCCTGTCGGAGTCCAACATGCCGTGGGAGCAGTTCCTATTTAATGCCAATGTGGACCAGACGCCTGCTCTGCTTGTACAGAGACCAAATGGGATCTAGTATAGGGCCTCGGACTCCGTACTCCTGAAACCCAGTCAAATTCCTTCTCCAGGTCCAGAAAAATACACCTGGACTGCTTGGGCAAACTCCCATGACACCTTGAGTACCTTACAGAGTGTGGAGCTGGTCCACTGTTCCCAGGCCAGGACAAAAACCACACTGCTCCTCCTGAAGCCGAGGTACTATCAGCCAGACTCTCCTCTCCAGCATCCAGAAACAGTCCTTCCTGGGGAGGCTGAGACGTGTGCTTCCCCCTATAGTTGGATCTCTCCCTCTGGTCCGCCTTCTTGTGTAGAGGAACTACCACCCTAGTCTGCCAATCCATGGGCACTATTTCCGACCTCCAAAGCTCTAAGGTACTCAGGGTGGATCTCCTCCAGATCCCATTGACATTAGAAGATAAAAACTACAGAAGATAAAACTACAAAGTCGATCGTTGACCTCTGGCATGGGGCGTCCTGGTGCCAGGTGCATTAATGGACATCCTTATGCTCGAACTAGGTCTTCATTATGTACAATCTTTCACTTGCACATTAGTCCAATAATGAAAAAACACTCTGGTTCAGAGCTGGGGGTCCATTCCTACCGATCGCTTCCCTCCATGGGCACACTGATGTTTCCAATTTTTGCTCGGTAGGAAGAAGGCCTGGTGCTCCATTCTGCCATTTGACCCATAGGCCAAAACAACAGCCAGAGACCCCCCCCCCCCCCCCCCCCCCCCCCCTGGCTGTTGTTTTGGCCTATCGGCCAAATGGCAGTATGGAAGCAACCCAACACGAGAGGACTAAGCTGGGGGACTACCAGGTTAAAAAATGAATAAACCTGTCATTTTTTATTTAACCAGACTGATAAGTACAGATCAATGTTGTTAGGATTTAACCCAACAGGCTTGTGTTATGAGTTTGAGTGTGGTTTGGCTTTTCAAGTTAGTTAGTGAGTGAAAGTTGTGCTAACAAGGAGGTTCTTTAGCACAAGCTTTGGATTTCAAAATGCAACTTAGTGCATCTTAATATACTGAAATGACTTCATGGCTTTTTTTCAAATCTGAAATCAAGCATTTAAAACTTTAACACATCTTTTCTGACATTTTCTATTTCCTTTTGTGTCACCACTGCTCTCTGGTAGCGGTCCTCTCCAGATCTGTCCTCGCTTCTCCGAAGAAGTCCAGCATTACGGGTAGAGTTTATTAATCACTGTTGTATGCTTCCTGTTCAGCAGAGGACACACGTCATTTAGCTCTCCTTCAGCACACTTTCAGAAACCAACAACAACAAAAAACAGAAACGTGTACAATGCCTCAGATACTGGAAACCTGGCTGATCACACAGTTTTAAATGTAGTCCAGACAAAGCAGCACTGCCTGCAGCCGTAAGCAGGCCAAGCTCTGTCCTGCTCTGCAGCTGTCTCCTTTGGGATCCTCCTGTGTAGTTATTTAAATATACAACAAGCTCTGAGTCAATAATATGTACGCTGCTTCATGCCAAGATGTCCATTAAACTTCTGTGTTTTGATAGATTAGATTAGAGGTCCTAGTTTTTTTTATTTTGTAGACCCAGAACATGTAAGTGGATCTTATTAAGCCTTAGATGTTCTGGTTTTGTTTACCTGAAACTTCCTTCATTTGATGATTTGTGTTTTCTAATGGCTCACCAGATACGATCAAAACCAGTGAAGAGTAGAAAGAAAACCCCTTATTCTCTCTGTCCATCGTCTTCTCATCTTTTCCTCCCTTTCTTTGGCTTGCCTGTGTTCTTTCCTCCGTTTCCCCGTCTGCCGTTCAGAATCTCCGCCGGACCCCAAACAGTCCAACCCTCTGTTGGACCCAGAGCGAGGTATGTACGTTTACAAGCTGTAGGATGTCACTGCATCAGTTCAGTTGGATGTTTTGGGCTCAGGCTGTTAAATCACTCAAAGGTTCATAGTGGCGTCATATGCCTATTCCAAAAAGAACCAAATCCAGTTGAGGCTTTATATTAAAAACTCTCCGTCATAATAGTGTTTTGGTTGTCATTTTTGAGCCCAAATAGAACCCCAGCATGATGAGTGGACATTAAAAGAGCTGGTGACATTATTAATGAACTACCAGAAGACCAGATGTTGGCCATTGATACAGCTTCTAAATAAGTCCTGACTCTGCAGGAATGCCTCGCAGAAAACTGGCAGCTCAGAGGATGGTGCTTAAAACTTTGTTAACAACAGTAGCACTATTTGCAAAAAAATGTGCTCGCATATCTATCACCTTCATTTGCAACATCAGAATGCTTCCTGATCTTTAGCTACAGCTTTGGTAAACGCCAACAGTCAGACTGTTTTCTCAGTTCTTTGGAATCAAGCAACTTCTTTGCTCTTTTTACACTTGATCTTGAACTTTTTGTTTGTTTCTCCTATACCATGGGAGTTTCCAGACTTGTTAGCCTCATTTCTTTTGATTATTAATCAGTTGTACCCATGCACAGCAGCATAATCCTAATCACATGATGTTTTGGTAAATATACACAGAAATATTATATCTAGCTAAAATAAAGTTTAAATAACAAATACTATGCCATTAGGACGCTGTAGTTTGTGAGTGAGTTATGGGTGCATGCATAAAAAAAGATGAAAAAATTATATTTTGTACATTCAATTCAATGCTGATCATGAAAAAAAAATATCAAAAGGAAACCTGTTTTAAAAGTAGATGTTAAAAAAATTATCTGATTTAAACTCACAGCAGGAGTTTTTAACTTTGGACAAACTTCTTAGGAAAACCATTAGTCATTTGACAGGCAGCTGAGATGTTAAGGTGGAGGTAATGTTTGCACTCAGAGAACTCAGAAAGACATGTTAAGAAGCAGAGATTCCTCAAATATTTAGGAAAATCTAATGTGCTCCTGAGAATCCTCCATCTTTTCTATGAAATCCATCAGTTCTGCACAAATCCATCTAAATGCTTAACAATCCAAACTGTGATCTTGGTCTTTGGTGGATGTGTTCTCCATGCATTTATGTAATATTTGTGTGATAATATTTACAAAAATAAGAGAATGTTGGACATGTTTTAAGTTTAAAATTTTTTAAAGAACAATGTGAGTCAGAAAAGCCAGACCGTTTTCAGCTTGTTGCCTTCCAAGAGGAAATGCTTCTCCGTCCAAAAAAAGAGGGAGGAAAAATAAATAAATTCCAGCAGAAGTTTCAGTTGCCTGTTAGTTTGGAAGGCCTCATGTGAGATATTTGGGTTTTGTGAGTGAAAGTGGAATATCAGGCCTCCTTTCTGTTTTCCAGCTTTCTTTGGTTTCCAAGGTTACTGGGCAGCCTTTGTTCATGTCTGTCCTTCAGTCTGTCCTGAGCCCAAAGCTCAGATATAGTAGAGTAGGTGACCCTGGTAATGTTTATCACTTTTTTTCTTACAAGTATCTAAATTCATAAAAAACAAAAAATAAAATAGTTTAAAAAGTCATTTTTATGTCAGGACAAAGCTTATCCTGGGTTGGTAAAACCATTTACTTATTATTCTGTATCTTTTTTTATCACTAAATCAAATCAACAAAATATGGAGTTTGTTGTCCCCATGTCATTTTAAATTGTAAATGTTTAATATCATTTTAATTTACTGATGCAACACATTCATGGAATTAAGCTCCTTTAAAATTGAAAAACATGTTAAATCGCAATAAAATCCTCCTATTCATTTACATTCAAACTGCTCCATGCTAAACATGTAGCTTGAGGGGTTTCGAACTGAGAAGTTCTGATTTCTTTCCATAAATCCACCAAAATAATCTGTTGCTGCCATCTTCTCAGACTTAACGTGCGGCTATTTCAAGTTAAACTGCAAAAATAATAATGTTATCACACGTGACAACCAACACTGACTCGAAATTTTGCTGAATTATTTTTAGCCTGGAAAAGAAAAAACTATTAGGTTTATAGCTTTCAATACCTCTGTTCAGTTTAGAATTTTAATCTGATATGAAAAAAAAGCTGTTTATTTTACAAAATAACAGAACAGGACATTTGATTAAAGCAGATGTTTAGAGGTGTTTTCTTCATATGTCTGATGAAACTAAATAGATAATTTACCTTATTTACCTGACTGTCATGGAGAGCAGGAGTGAGTGAGCGTCTGGACCCCTCTGGGTTTATTAAAAACTCTTTTTTTTTTAAGTCGCAAACATATTTATGCGCTATTTAGCTATTTCTATCCAAATGTAGTAAGTAAAAGTAAAAATAAATACTCAAGTGAAGAACAGACTGAAAAAAGCTACTTAAATATTTAAACTTACATCTTTCATAAAAAACAAATCTATGAACAGAAAAAAAAGTTAATTTTCCCCTTTTGATCACAGTGCTTGTAGAGGAAAAAAGAAAAGAAAAGGAAAATAAATAACAGACTCAGTCTAGTTTAGTTCTGAATTAAAACTTCCGACTGGAAAGTATAGATCAGAGGTCTTCAACAAGGGTCCGTGACCCCTAGGGGGTCCTCGAAGGTATTGCATGGGGGTCGCGAAAGTTTTGGCTGATTAGACTTTTTTTTTTATATTCCCCCTGCAATTTTTTCCACTTATTGAAATTTCTTTAAATCCACATTAACATGAATTTAACACACTGTAGGAAACAGATAAATGTAGGCAGAAGATGTCTTTCAGTCATCAATGCACACATTCAGCGACACACAGGAGCTCCTTCAAGCTGGACACCGTTTTATTCACTAGGGGTGGGTATTGCCAAATAAGTCACGATTCGATCCAAATCATGGTTCACATGCCACGATGCGATTCTATTAAGATGCATCGCGATACTTGAAATATTGCGATGCATTGCGATATTTTCACTGAACACTGTAAGAAAAAAATACAGCCCTTACCAGTGGCTGACTGGCTGTGTATGATCTGGATAGTGTCTTTAATTGATCCATAACTGAAAGCAACTGAATTCATACATAGCTGTATTTATTGAAACGACTATCGAAGGTGTCGCAATGAAAACAAATACTGGACACAAATATTACTATTACTGGAGTGGACACACTGACAAAAAGTGCTTAGGATTTATAAAACTTAAACAGTGCCGTTTACATGGCCTCAGTGGTCCTTTAAACCAATGAAATGAAAACATTTCCCCTTTTGCAAATTACATGCGTTATATTTATTTAGTTTTTACATTCTTTGTTTTTAAAGCCAAAATGCATCCAAACATCTCACTTGGAATGTGATGGAGCTGTGCAAATTATCTCAGTCTCCTCGATGTTTTGTTTATAAATGACTCATCGCAGTATCCGCAGCGACATCTGCTGGACTGAAAGTTTTATTCCACTTGTTTTTGGCTGATGTGTGCCAACCACTCATGTATTTTATTTATTCCTTTTTGTTAATTAAGAATCGATACTTGGCATCAAGAATCGATGCAGCAGATCATAAAAATTAGAATCGCGATGCATCGTCATGACGATTATTTTGCACACCCCTATCATTCACAACACCTGTCCCATCAACCAGGAATCAGAATCAGAAATACTTTGAGAATCCCAGGGAGAAATTACTTTTGTTAAATTACTCCATCTGTAATAGAGTGACTATCGGGCTAGTTTGATATATATAACACAATTTCATACAGTATATGTAATTAGGGGGTCCCTGCTCCATCTCATCATCAGTTTGGCGGTCCTTGGCCTGGAAAACGTTGAAGACCTCTGGTTTAGATTGAACCAAACAGAAGTCCTTCATTAGCTGCTGAACACATTTCAAGCTCTGGCATTCACAGATGCCAGAGCTTGAAATGCCGTTACAGTTGCTGAGAACAGAATTAAACCTCAAATATGCTAACATCAATAATTCAATAATCAAGATTTCACTCCTTGAAGATCAGATTTATAAACTATAGATTTCTTTGCCTTTAAATAGTTTCCAAATTTAAATTTGTAAACTTTATATTAATTGAAAAATAAACAGAAAATTTGACAAATTTCTGACAACATTTATAACGGTCAAAGAAAAAATACACTGTTAGGAACCAGTTGTAATGGAAACAAGAGAATGCTAAAGGTTCCTAGGTGCAACACTGAGTGTGTATAACCTGACACTGGGGGAAAAAACATGGCGTCAATTGGTTAATATAAACTCTAATAAATGGGGAACAGATCTGATCGTTATTTGCAATGTTTCCCAGCTGCCTCTCCCCATCTATCAGCGTTTTTCCTTAAACTAACTGGACTCCAACTGCACAGACTTTCAAAGCAATTTTTATCTTCCCTCCTTTTTTTGTGTGTCTGTTACTGTTCTGTCATTATCAAACTGTATAAAACTAACGAGCTACTTCTGAGAAAATGAGAAGAAACTACAGATATCTGTGTTCAAATGTAGTAAAAGGAAAAATAAATACTTAAAGAACAGATACTGCAAAAATACTAAGTATTTATGCTTCGTTATTTGACACCTGATTATTAAGCTTTTTAATCAATCTACAGCAGGAAGGCCAAATTTGGAGGCAGCATATTTCTTTCATCCATGAGGATGAAATTGCATTGATTGCATTTCAGTCAATGAGTCGATGCAATCAACTGGTTTTCCTTAGATAGAAAACTTTGAATCAGTTTAGATGTATGATCTGGTGAATTGTAAAGTGCCTTGAGATGACATGTGTTGTGACTTGGCGCTATAGAAATAAACTGAATTGAATTGAGGGGATTTTTGCTTTAAAATTCTCACGGTAACTTGTTGAGTTTTATTCACAAGAAAAATGTATTTTACTAAAATATCTCAGCAGCTGTGTGGGCAATCGGTTTGGTGTTAAAGAAAGCAGTGAAGTTCCCTCATAAATCCACATCTTTTAATGGTGCAGATTCCTGAGAACCGCACATCAAACGATGAGGTTTAACATTAGTTTGAAATCTGTTTAAAATATTAGAGCCCTTTTCTACTGATGCTGTTCAAAGCTCCTGATTAAGGATCTGTGTGTGTTTGATGCAGACAGCGGCCGCAGCAGCAGCGGCTCCAAAGGAGAGCGTCTGAGCGCCAAGATGAGGTCACTTCCTGGTTCCAATGAGCCTTATGAAGCCAGCAGCCCTAAAGAACTTGGTGAGGACTCCTTAGTTTCCATATAATTCTGGAAAAAAAAAAAAAACTGCAGTGAGTTTGATGGTATTCCTCTCCAACTCTGATCTATCTCATGGTTGATGACGTGATTCTTAGTTAACAGGAATCCTGAGACGTTGAAGACATTTTTAGGGAAGTTGTGGTTTGATCAGGAACTCATGACATCAATCTGTAAGATCGTTGGTTGATCTTGTGTGTAGATGCATCATACGTTGATCCGCTGGGGCCTCAGATGGAAAGACCAAAGACGGGGGTCAAGAGGCTGGTGGATGACGATGACTTTGCAGATGAGGAGCTGGTGGATGAGCTGCTACCGGAGTAGAGGCATCGACTACCTTCTGAAATCAGAATCTTTATAATCTGCTCATAATGGGAGTTCTTCATCACCCCCATCAAAGCTGAGGAGGAAGAAGAGCTGAAGGTTCTCCTGTGATGGATCTGCAGAATAAAATTTTTTATTATGTGTGAATAATATGTAACTATAAACACAGAACATTTCTCAGCAGACTGAACTTTGTTGTTGAACTTATTGCTATTTATTCATTCTCTTTTTAAGTTTAATTAAATTTGTAATAAAATCTGTTTTCCTGCTTAAGACAAAAGTGAGAGTTGGTTTCTTTGAAATTAAACTGGCTGACAAATTTTCTTTTTTTTGAGGATTTTTGTGTATTTTTGAAAAGCTCATGCACAACCCTGTACCTGCTCCCGACAGGGAATGCCTATTAAAAGCATCATGAGCCCATTTCTCCTCGTGCACACTCCGTTTAAAAGTTACTGTTCTCATAGGGTTTCATGAATACTTGGAGAGATCCTAAACTAAGGCCAGACCAACACTTATTATCCTTCTTTTATTCCAGGACAGCTATCAATGACTTTAAACTACTGGTTTTAACCCAGACAGGATGAGATACTTCATGTAGCTCAGTATATTTTTAGCTTTCTTTTAGGGTTTGTTGAAGTTAAAAATGGGACATATTTTTAGTAAAATGTGAATTAGATTAAACCAACAATTACCGTAAGGGGACAAAAATAGAAAAGCGGTTCTTATTAGCATGGGCAGACAGGGGCCAGTTCCTCTGTGTTGGCCTCTGTTCGCAATACAGTACATTGTATAAAGTAAAATACAATTTATCATTAAGGAGTTATTTATTTAGCAACTAATTATTTTAGCTTGTTTTTTTTCCCCATTGTAAATAATTTTTAATTTTAGGTTAAGTAAAATTTACATTTTCAAAGCGAAAAACAGGGCCGGCTTCACCAACAGGTGACACAGGCGGCTGCAAGGATTGCGCTCAGCTGGACAGCAAGCAAAATTACAGAATAAAAAAAAATTTTTAAAGTATGTATTGTGAAATACAAACTCTATGAATACTCAAAAACTTCACTCTGAAAGTTTATAAATTAAAAACTCCTTGTTTAAATTCTGACTGTATGACCTGCTGCAACTCTGATGAGGAGCATCATGTGGATTTACTACATATGTTACACTGTTCAATGATTGAAAGTGAAAGATGAAAAGATCAGTAAAGCTTTCAGGAGCAGCTTTCTATAAGCAAAAAAAGTCTTATATATCATATCTATATGTGGACGCACTGTATATACCCCATGGACAATTACTTTTGGCTTCTTCTTTTAATTAACTATTTGAGCTGATGTAACACGTTCATTTCTCCAATGTGAGATAAATAAAGTCAATCAATCAAAAGAGGTCCAAAGCAGATTAGGCAAAAAAATGTTAATTAAAAACATTTCATTTGCGACATAACATTTAAATTAATCCAAATGATGTGGAAATCTCACTTCATTCCGTAAAGTATCTCTTTGGTTCTGCAGCTCTCTTGATATATATGATGAATTATTTTTTAAATTTTTTTTTTCATGCTTTTGTGTGAAAACACCCTGGCTCCCCTAGAAAATATAGAACCGCCACTGGCTATTGGTTTCCAGATCAGGGTGAATAAAGTGACTGGTTCCAGTGTTTACAGGGATTATGGAGCAGTGCGCACAGACGCAGCAAACCAGCCTCAGTTGTTCTCATGAATCCAGGAATGTTTTTTTTTTTTTCCTATCATGGCTCTGTGTTTTTTCGATGGGGACTTTTTCTCTGTCATCGCTTCGGTTTGATTTAGATCCTGCTGGAATCGTGCGGAACGGAGCGCACAGTGGAGTTAATGCGCACACACCAAAGAAGATAAGCTCGCTTTTTGTAAAATAAAATAAAAAAACTAATTGGCTATATTTCACCAGAAATGATGAGATCTTCGAATATAATCGGCACTTAATGTTTTGTGGTTGGTTTTAATCCTGGAGACCTCATGGATGTGATGAGCCAGATGTAGTTTTCCTGGCTGCGCGCCTCGGTGTGTTTGTCTGCGCCAGACTCCAAGTCGCATCAACAGTCTGTGAACACATAACAAATGGCTCCTGGGACTGAAACAGCTTAAAAAACTGCTGCTGAGCTCAGATCGCAGGAAGAACGAGGTCTCCAAGCTGTGCGCCACCTGGGTTCATTTCTGGCGCAACAGAACGCAAAGCGCGCAGAGATGCGGCGTCGGATCTGCGTCCTGCTGCTGCTGCATCTGGTTCTGGTACCAGCCGGGCCAGCAGAGACCACCAGGGTTCGGAAGAAAACCACTAAGAGCCGGCCTTGTCTGGACCTGCCGGAGGAGATCCTGGAGCAGATGTTCGGGCGGCTTTCTGTGGGAGTGATGGGGGCCTTCCACCACGCGCTGGAGCTGGAGCCCCGCGGGAAACTCAACCTCACGTGCCCGACAGCAGCGCTGAGGAGAACCGATAGCAACAAGCGCCTCCCGGCCAACCTGCGGAGCATCTCCCCCTGGGCTTACAGGTAGGAATGCAGAAACAGACTTATTGCTGGAGATTTTACTTAGCTACCTGTTGGTGCTTTGGTATGATTAAAAAAAATAAAAATAAAACATATCACACACAAAATGGAGGTAAAATCTAGTGTTGCACCCGATACCAGTATCACATGGGGCCTGATCCATAGTATCGGTATCGGCGAGTACCAACAAATAGGACACCGATACCATTTCCAGAGCCAAAAGTTTATTCAACTGTTGTCACTCATTCCAGGTAGGCTATAAAAACTTCCACTGGATTCACTTTGTATTCGTCTTCATCCTGTTTTACAAAGGTAGGCAGCAGCTTTAGAAAGCCATGATGGCAATTATTTTACATCCAAGTAGTATGCAGTTCTGACATGCCAAGACACGCCAAATCTCTCAGCGATTAGAAAGCAATCCTGCCCCTTGTCAGTGAAAAATTAAAATCAGTTGGTTCAGTTTGGCTGCTCAGTTGAACAGTGGGTAGTGCCTTTCAACAAGAAGGTTTTGGGTTCGATTCCTGGCCCAAGGTCTTTCTGCATGTTCTCCCTGAGTATGTGTGGGTTCTCTGCAGGTACTCCAGCTTCCTCCCACAGTCTCTAAATTGTCCTTAGGTGTGATTGTGTGTGTGAATGGTTGTGTCTCTGTGTTGCCCTGCAATGGACTGGCGACCTGTCCAGGGTGTACCCTGCCTATTGACTGCTGGAGATAGGCAACAGCACCCCTTGGGACCCCACTTGGGACAAGTGTGTCGGATAATGGATGGATGGAATGGTATCAGTCAGTCAATGCTGCACAGCCAGGTGTCGGTATTGAGGCCAGAAAATGGCAACGGTAAAAACTACATTTACTTAGCAATACAAATTCAGAACTGCATGAACATCAGATTTATATAGCCTACATTTATAATCAGTCTCCTGTTTTATCCACATTAAAGTTCAAGTGAGTCCTAAAATAATTTGATAGAAAAAAAAAAGTCTTGGAAATCAGCAGATTTCATGAATTTGGTCCGTTTCTAGTCCATCGGAGAACTAAAGCTCAGGCCTGAAAGCGATTTAGGAGCTCATTAACCTAACATACGGGTTAGGGGAAGTCAGAGTACCTGGGGAAAACCCACTGAGACACCAGCGGCGGCGGCCAAAGATAAGATCCTCGGGTGGAACTAAAGGGGTGGTAGGCCAATTCAACACCACTGGAACAAGCAGTTCCCCTGTAAACCAGAGGGGGCAGCAGTGATACTCTCAAGTGGAATGTCCTCATTATTAATTACTAACTAAATATTTTAAATATTAGTGTAATGGCCATAAACTGACCTAAAGATATGTATAAAAAAGATTTAACTCTTTTCAGAGAAAGTTTTTGTGTTTTAATAGGAAGAAGGGAAAGTTATTTCTCTGTAGGCCAGCTTGTATTTTCCTATATATAATTAAAGAACTGTTAAACCCATTTAATTCATATTGTAATTACATTAGATTATTATGTATATGATGATTTTTTTTTAGACATCAATCATAAATAAGTGCACATTGTTCTTGCTTTGCCACCTGTAGGAATATTTCCTGGCTCTGCCTCTGTTCCAATATCAAAACCAACACAGTTTGGATCAGTTCTCTGTCCAAACATGGTGCTGGTTTAATAAAAGCATTAACAGAGTTTTTTAGGCAGTGCTGTCGTCCTTCAAATCGGTTTTCTGTATTTATTTTGACAAAATAATCTCTGTTTAGAGAGGAATCGTCCAGAAAAAGCTATCTATGCCAGTATTATTTTGATAAGTATTGCATGCAGCCAGTGAATTCAAACAGTAGATAGTTTATATCTTAAAATGACTGAAATGACTCAGTAATCTTATACTGGAGACTTGTCTTGTTTGCACCCAGAGGCGGAGCTAGATGCGAGGTCAGGAGGGTCATGGCTCAGAAACCAGGTCATCTGCATGTGTGTCACAGTAAAATGTGTCCGCACCCCTTCCGCAGACACTCTGCTGCACCTCTCCTAAATTGTAGGTGACTGCAGACAGGAGGCCTCTGATTGGTCAAATCTACATCCGCTCTACTCTATGCAGATTTCCTGTTTGACACCTTACTGGCTTGTTTTGTTTTTATGACCACCATTGTGGAAAACAACCAGCTAGAAGAGCGAGGTGCGCAAGAACGCTGGAACCGTTTTACCACCTGGATTCCTGCTCTTTTTGCCCTCATTGTCCCTCCGTTGTCACACAAACTTGCCCCCTTCTCCTCACCGCCTCGGCCGTATCTATAACCACAGCTAGTTCCTGATTGTCCCTCTTGCATTGTGGCGTGGAATAACATAGCGCAGACCACGCTTAAATTTTGGGCATAAATCAAAAATATCTGCAACAAGCTCACTGCGACACACTGCTGCGGGAGGATAACCAGCCCTTTAGGCCTCCATACATGGGTCGTGTTCACTAACCACTGCGCCATCGAAGCATGGCCCCCCTTTTAAACGTCACATGCCCTCCTTTTGATCCAAAAGAAAATGGATCACTGGACAAGAATCAGGGAGCACCTTCAGCATTGTCTATTGTTGCTGTGGAGCCATATTTCCTGATGTTTTAGCAAACTCAGTGAAAAGAGAATTAATACTATTAGCTTTGCAAACAAAAAACACCAAAATTTCTGCTCTGAATCTGTTTTTCAGGCTCTCCTATGAACCGAACCGATATCCCCGCTACATCCCTGAGGCCTACTGCCTGTGTAAAGGCTGCCTGTTTGGGCCGTACAGGGAGGAGAGCCAGCAGTACCGCAGCGTTCCCGTCTACGCTCCCACCGTCATCCTCAGGAGATCCGGCTCCTGCGTCGGTGGACGCCACTCCTACTCTGAGATCTACGTCTCTGTGGCCGTGGGATGCACCTGCGTGCCAATGATGGAGAAGAAACGAGACGGTCAGAGCAGCAACAGGAGCCTAGAGGGACCAAAGCCCAAAGCTAGACAGATTTTCTCTGCTGGGAAAAAGGCCTGAAGGAGAGCATCAGTCCTTTGATGGACATGCTTTTTAAAGTAATGGTACTTGACTTCTGTTCAACTCAACATACTCTAAACTCAATTATTGGACATCATAAATACACCCAGGAGGACTATATTTATTAATTCCGACCCAACTGGTTGACAGGTTTTATTTTGGAACATCACAGTAAAAGGGATTCTATTAAAAAAAAGATTTTTAAAGTAATTGTCTAAACATGGTGCCTGATCTTGTTTTTTTTCTTACAATTTTGGGAAATAAGTAATATTTTACCCAAACCTGCATTTCCCCAGAGATCTGAGACCAAATCTCTGCAGAATCCACCCCAGTTCAAACGATCAAAACCACAGGAATATCTATTCCAAAAAAGTAAAAAAAAAACAATGCACTTTGTTTCCAACTTTGAAGACGTTTGCCTTCCCATTCAGGAAGCTTTTTCAAATCAAACTGTCAGAATTAGTTCTGAGTTTGAAGCTTTATAGAGTAGCCCAAAAACTTGTTTTAGCTTGGAAAACATGCAAATTGAACCAGAAGAACATCCTTAGGAATGAAGAGTCGTATTGGGTTCTTCGTTAGCCTGCATTACCCGATACCTGGCTATGTCTTTAAAAGGGGGGTAATTAGGAGCAACTGTTGGCTTGGCTGCTCAGGTGAGATGTTTGGTCCCCTGCATGGGGGTGGGGGGTTAAAGTGATAGTGGGAAGGAACCAACTCTATCGCTGTGTTGTAGGTTTTTGAGACCTGGAACCTGAGTGCACCCCCTCTGTTTAAGGTTGGTTTTTCTTTCGTAACATAAATGGGATAAATTCACACCTCTTTGATACCACCTGTCTTCTTTGTACAAAATTTGAACATTCTGGTCCTCAAAAGAATGTCCTTTGTCCATTAGGTGCAGAGTCTTGTCCGGAGGAGGTCGCTCTTCTGTGTTGAGCCATGCATCTGTGGAGAGGTTGTTTGGCTTCTCTAATATATAAATCAAAGCATTTCTCACTGCATTGAACTGCATATAGGGATACCTGCTTCAATGCTGCCATCTACTGGCAAAAAAAAAAAAAAAAGACTACAACCCGGTTATATAGGATACATACACTACCGTTCAAAAGTTTGGGGTCAGCCCAAACAATTTTGTGTTTTCCTGAAAAGTCACACTTATTCACCACCATACGTTGTGAAATGAATAGAAAATGGAGTCAAGACATTGACAAGGTTAGAAATATTGATTTGTATTTGAAATAAGATCTTTTTTACATCAAACTTTGCTTTCATCAAAGAATCCTCCATTTGCAGCAATTACAGCATTGCAGACCTTTGGCATTCTAGCTGTTAATTTGTTGAGGTAATCTGGAGAAATATCACCCCACGCTTCCAGAAGCAGCTCCCACAATTTGGATTGGTTGGATGGGCACTTCTTGCGTACCATACGGTGAAGCTGCTCCCACAACAGCTCCATGGGTTACAGATCTGGAGATTGCGCTGGTCATTCCATTACCGCTAGCAGCTGCCTGCTTCTGCTCTAAATACTTCTTCCACAATTTGGAGGTGTATTTAGGGTCATTGTCCTGTTGTAGGATGAAATTGGCTCCAATCAAGCGTTGCAAAATGGAGTGATAGCCTTCCTTATTCAGAATCCCTTTTACCCTGTACAAAGCTCCCACCTTACCAGCACCAAAGCAACCCCAGACCATCACATTACCTCCACCATGCTTAACAGATGGCGTCAGGCATTCTTCTAGCATCGTTTAATTTGTTCTGCGTCTCACAAACGTTCTTCTTTGTGATCCAAACACCTCAAACTTGGACTCATTCATCCACAACACTTTTTTCCAGTCTTCCTCTGTCCAATGTCTGTGTTCTTTTGCCCATCTCAATCTTTTTCTTTTATTGGCCAGTCTCAGATATGGCTTTTACTTTGCCAGTCTGCCCTGAAGCACAGAATCCCACAGCTCCCTCTTCACTGTGGAGGAGGCCCAGGGGGAGACCCAGGACACGATGGAGGGACTATGTTTCTCAGCTGGCCTGGAAGCGCCTCGGGGTTGGAGACCCTTCCTCTGCCTCTGCTTCTCCATATAGAAGCCATCACTATTTGTCAACATCCATCACAACCGTAATGTCGTATCATAGTAACACAAGATCAACACAGTTCTGTGAAGAATATTAATAATTTTCTAAAACAAAAAGTACACGTCTAAAACAGGTCTGAGCTACTTTAAATTCAGTCCAGCTTATAAAACTCATATAGAGCATCAAACACTGATCTTTTTAAAATGGGAGAAAAAGATAAGTGATATTTAATAAATACCTACCACAAATTTGTCCTTTTTAAAATAATCACCATGCTTTTATTTTTGGGTTTTAAATGAAGGAATAAACTTGCAAAAAAACAAGAAATATATTTTTTAAGGATTTCTGAACTTAAAAAAACTATTTTTCCCATTTAAAAAACATAAAAAGTATTTATTAGTGTATACATTTTGACAAATATTAGCTTCATTTTTCAACCAAAGTGATGAAGAGCTGTCGCCGAGTGTCTAAAGAGCCACAGGTTAGATTCATCTCCCATTTCCCATAATGCATCAGTTTTTTTTATTTCAGTTGTGTTTGACGGTTTATTCTGGATCCAAACACACGTCCACTGAAGTCGTTGCGTAGATTCTTTACATTTCTTTAAGTTTATTCAGTAAAATACATTTACATTGTAGAAGTCAACATTCAGTATCTCATTCCAAAAAGTAAAAAAAACAACAACAATCCACTGGACTTTGTTTTCAAGTTTGAAGACGTTTCGCTTCCCATCCAGGAAACATTTTCAATTCCAAATCTCATTATTCCTGGATGGTAAGCGAAACTTCTTCAAACTTGGATACAAAGTCCAGTTGATTGTTTTTTAACTTTTTTGATATGACTATGACCTGGATGATGGAGTATCTTCACTCGCAACATTCAATATCCTAAAAGATTTAAAGAGAACAGAATACAATTCCCCTCAACTTGTTGATACTCATCTTAAATATGTAGATTAAACTGCTGGAGGAAAAACAAAATCCTTGATAGTTGAGTAAAAAGATCTTCGCTGGTTGTAAGTATTGAGTCTAATAAGACTTCCTGTGCTTAATGTTGCAGTATGGTTCAATATAACTCAGTATAATCTGAAAGCATTTTGTGAATCGTTTAAAACCTAAATTGTCTTATAAGTCAGCTGGGCTGAACAAGCATCTACTGGACTCAATCATTACTTTTTGTTTTTATTTAATAAAAACTAAATCATAAAATAAATTATTTTATGATTGGTTAAGTATTGCTTAGAGTAACCTGGACTGAAAAACAACATAAACATTGAATAGAAATGATAAACTTTAAATAATAAAGTTTACTTTTCCAAAATAAATCTAACTTACAAACCTTTAATACACAAAATGTTTATTTTTTGTTGTACTTCCTTACATAAAAAGTTGGATTTAATTGACTCCATTTTAAATTCTGACTTTGATTAACTTACTCGGGTTTGTAGTAACATTCACCCAAAAAATGCATCACTGGGGAAAGATTATGTGTGATTCAAAACCTACCATAACCTGGAAATTATGTTAATCAGAATTTGTTGAAATAAGCAAATTTTCAGGCATCAATTACGTAAAGAACATAAATAACTTGTTAATGAATGGATGAAATGTCTGAACTTCTCTTTAGCCGTTGGTCCAATGAGAGCAGCAGGAAAACGGCAAAGACAAATAAAAAAAAAGCCTCAGCATTTTTCAAGATAAAAGCTGGAAACTGTTCATATTTCTTCCTGAAATGATCAAATAACCAGTCAGTGGTTTCTAACTGGATTACAGATGCAGGTTCTGGTAATGGATCTTCCTCTGCTTCCCAAACCCGCCGCTCGTCTTTTAACCCGTCGGTTCCTCAGCTCGACAGCAGGCGGGACGGATAGTTGATGAAGCAGCGGAACTCGTTGGACAAGTTTCTGTTGTGTTTGGGCAAAAAGGAGCACATTTTTACCCCCAATAGCTCTTTGGCGACGCCCTCCATGATGGCTCCTGCAGACACAACCAGAAGCCCTCCTGATCATTTAGAAATGTCACTGATCTCTCCCTCTGAGCTGCTCTTTACTCACCAGTGCAGAGCAGCACTTTGCCTTTGCTCAGGTACTGGATGGTTTGGGCCACTTTGCTCAGGCACTCCTCGGACAGGTAGGGCGGGTCGGCCAGGACCACGTCGAAGCTCTGAGGGGCCACGCCGCAGGGCAGCGACAGCGGCTCGTTGTAGTCGTAGTAGATGAAGTCGTCCCCGTAGGTGGAGAAGCGGCGGTCGTACTCCAACACCACAGCTGACACCTTGTCTGACCCGTCCAACACGCCCTGCTTCAACTTCTGGTACACGCTGGGAGCGCAAACACACGCTACCCTGAAGGGAACGAGGAAAGGAAGGTTGAAACAAAAGAAAAATCCAAATGAAAGAGAACCTTTCATTGGCAAAAAAGGTTCAACACCAATCCTGCTGCTTCTTCAAACCAAATCTGTCTGTAATACAGCTCAATCGAAGCTCTGCAGAGCTTTCCTTTCACTGTAAACCATGTCTGCTCCTCAACCTGACCCCCGCCGCTTCGTGCCTCATGATGGAGGCAGCATCACCTGGTCAAACATCTCATCCTCTAAACAGATGGTCGTCATCAGCTAAAGCAGTGGTTGGGAGCAGAGACTAACGCCTTCAAAACGTGAAATCCTGAAGCATCCATGAATGCCAAAACAGACGAAGGGATAAACAGCCTGACCTAAAGCTGCAGCAACTGATGGCTCAGCAGGAAAGGAAACCATTTGAATCAGAGACCCGTCTAAAACACGACAGAGTGGGACTTTTAAAGATAAAAAATAAAATAATGGCTCTGATCTGCAGAAAGAAAGATGAAAGGAATGAATTGGTAAAAAAAAATAAATAAACAGAAAGCCTTGAAGTTTCATCAGTATTGGAGAATGATGTCAGTTTATTTGGTCTTTTTGGAGAAACAACATTGGCTCCAAAAACACAATGATCTTCATTTTAGATAAATTCAATATTTAAATCAATATAAAACTCCAATGTCCTGCTTTGTAATCAAAGGAGAAAACCAGACTGTTCTGATCACACAGCTAATGTTAATACAGACAGTTAAATAAGTGTAGAACATTCCATTTATCTCAGTAAATACATTTGCTTGAGGTGCTTTTGACATGTGATTTTCACATTGTTCATAACAACCCATGCAATCCACTCATACAGAGAAATCAAACCATAGATGCCCAGAAATGAACTTATGTGTAATAATGTGGAATGACAGAGGGAAAAAGTCACACCTGAAGAAAGAGAGGGGGTGAAAAGGCCTGGAAAGCCAAGACAAGCCAAATCTCAGTGATTAGAAAGCAATCCTGCCCCTTGTCAGTAAAAAATTAAAATCAGTTGGTGCGTTCAGTGCTGCCTTGTAGCAAGAAGGTTCTGGGTTCAATTCCTGGCCTACTTTCTGCAAGTTTGCATGTTCTCCCTAAGTATGCGTGGGTTCTCTCTGGGTACTCCGGCTTCCTCCCACAGTCCAAAAACATGACTTTGAGGTTAATTGGCTTCTCTAGATTCTCCTTAGGTGTGAGTGTGTGTGAATGGTTGTTTGTTCTGTCTGTCTCTGTGTTGCCCTGCGATGGACTGGCGTTCTGTCCAGGGCTGGAGATGATCACCTCCTCACCACCCCACTTGGGATAAGCTTGATGGAAAATGGATGGATCCATGGTTCAGTCCCAAATAATGGCCTACAAATAGGTGTCTCTGGTATCACACAAGAAACTCCTCAAGATGGGTGAAAAGCAAAGGTCTTTCTGAAGACCTTCACAACATTATTTCTGCAAAAAATGATGGCATTGCTTACAGAAGGATTTCTAAAACTCTGAATGTTCTAGTGACGCTGTTGGGGCAATAAACCAGAAGTAGAAAGAATATAATTTCACCACAAATTGACCATGACCAGGTGCTCCTCGCAAGATTTCTGACAGAGTGAAGAGAATTATCACAAGAGTTGTCCAAGAGCCAAATGCCACTTATGGAGAACTTCAGAAAGAAGAAGAAAACAATTAGTAATGCATTTAGCCTCCATGACCTGTATGAACGCTCACCACACAAGACTCCACTGCTGAAGGAAAAGCATGTTGGAGCTCGTTTAAAGTTTGCTGCACAACATTTAGAGAAGCCCGTGCAATACTGGGAGAATATAGTCTGGTCAGATGAGACTAAAACTGAACTCTTTGGATGCTATAATACACATCATGTTAGGAGGTCAAATGGCTCTGCACGTCACTCCAAACACACCATAGCAACAGTGAAGTTTGGAGGTGGGAACTTCATGGTGTGGGGCTGTTTTTCAGCATATTGTACTGGCGAACTTCAAATAATTGAAGGAAGGATGAATGGAAAAATGTACTGAGACCTTCTTGATAAAAATCAGCTGCTATCTACCAGGATGATAAAGATGAAACGCTGGGGAACATTTCAGCAAGACGATGACCCCAAACACACAGCAAAGGAAACTCTCCTTTGGTTTCAGAGAAAGGAAATAAAGCTGCTAGATTAGCCCAGCCATAATAGAACATCTATGGAAACAACTAAAGAAGATCCCCACGAAACCTTCAGGATTTGAAGACTGTTTGTGTGGAAGAATGGGCCAAAATCCCACCTGAGCAATGCATGCTGCTAATTTCTCCATAGAGGAGGCGTCCTCAAGCTTTTATAGGAAACAAAGGCTTTTGTACAAAGTATTAAATACATTCTAATGAATATTTGTAATACTTTTTACTGTAATATTCTACATTATTACACATAACTTAACTCTGATGGACGTCTATGGTTTGATTTCTTTGTATGAGTGGATTGTTAACATCTGGTGAAAACGTTAAGTCATTGGTGCCTCTAGAAATATATTTACTGAGTTAAACTGGTTTATTTCATCGGCAGTAATTCAGAACCTTCCTCTTATTTTTCACCCGTTTCAGATCATCACCATCAACCTCCATCTTTCCTCTCTGTATGAGTAAAAAAGGACTAATTCATCTTTTTCCTGATTAGTTTGTGTTGAATTTCTGTACAGCGGATCCTGGAGAGACCAGCTGTAACATCTAGACTCTGTGTTTCCCTTTCCTGGATTTAAGCATGAAGAGAAGTTTGTTTGGCTGGAAGCTGGTTATAAGGATGTGTGTGTGCGACCAATCCTTTACCTGCCTCCCTCTCCGGCTTCCCGTACGACCTCCTCTGCTAACAGCGCCGCCGTCTCATCACTGTACCAGAACTGACTCATCCTCTGGGCAAAAAAAAAACAACAGTTATTATCAGTATCAACACAAACTCTATAAATCGCTCCCCCTTTATTTAGAATTTGCCTCCAGTTTATCTAATTCCCTCCCTTCATCATAAACGCTCAGGCTCCAGCTTTTCCTGATCGGCCACAAATACTGCAATATAGCCACAAAACAAACTAGAACACAGAATTTTTAATAAAAAACAAAACAGAAAAAACTAAAAACGGAGCATAACCTGGGTTTAGAAGTGCATGCGCCACCAGATTCATTTTATATACAGATACATTTATAGGGGTACAGCTGGGCAAATCATTTTGCAATTTAATCACTATTTTAAAATCGCAGAGACGCACAATTCTGGTCACATAATTAACTTGAGTAAGAAATTAAATTTCTCCCTCCAGCCTTTTAATGGTGGTAATGTGCTTAAAGTGGGTTTGTTATGTGGCCGGCAGGTGCAAACCAACATTACAAAATATAAAACACTTTTACAAGTTCCAAAACAAATTAGCATTTCAGGAATTCAACCGGAAAGGGTGGGAACTAACTCTGAGGCTGAACCGGTCTTGTGCAAATCTCGTTTCTTTCCCCCCTGTGTCGGGAGCGCGCATTGCGGCCAGAGAGGCGGATCTGACCATTTTCACGGCGCTCCTGATAATTTCTCGCTGAAAACAGCTCATATAATCATATCAACTTTCTAACATTCAGTTTAATCGGTTGCTCTTTTTACTAATTTGTAAAATAAATACATTAACGAGGTCTTCTTACACTGATTTGTGTTTTTTTTAATTAAACGCCAAGAGAATCAGAATTAGAATCAGAATCAGAAATACTTAAATAATCCCAGAGGGAAATTACTCGTCAGTATTTCTCCAACTTTTGTCCCTTCAGCCTGACAGAAATAAATGTCAGTCACCAGACACAGATTTCCAACACGTAGTGTATTTTTCATTTTTCATTGCTGATATTTGAGGATGGAAACTGGCTGATAGCAGGGGGCACACAAATGAAGACGTCCTGCGAAGATGAGAGTAGAATTTCTGGTTAATCCCCTTCTCATGCAAAACATGACAGATTGCTCAAGTAAGGACATTTTTAGTATAACATATCACACATATCAATTTTAGAGAAATTGGAAACAGTTGCTCTTTATTTCCCTCCATGGGAGGAGGAGAGGAGAGAATGGATGTTTCAGCTGACTGAAATCATCTGTTCCCTCCATAACATGAGAAGAAATTAGTGTTCCTGCAGGTCTTTAACTGTGCTTATTCCTCTGACCATCAACAACAAATCCCGTGCATTTGGTCATATTTACTCTTTATTTGTCATAATTAAAAGAGAATGAAATGATGCCTCTCTGGCTGCAATGCACGCTCCCGACACAGGGAGAGAAACAGAATTTTGCACAAGACCAGTTCAGCCTCGGAGTTAGTACCCACCCTTTATGGTTGAATTCCTGAAATGGTCATTTATTTCTGGACTTGTAAAAGTGTTTCGAATGTTTTCTTAAAATGCTATTTGATTTGAATTTTTAAAAGTGTTTTGCTTAGTAATTTATTTTTTAAATGTAAATTTGTTTCCTGAAATACTAATTTGTTTTCGGAACTTGTAAAAGTTTTTTAGATTTTGTAATGTTGGTTTGCTCCTCCCGGCCACCGTAGTTTGTCGCAACATGGAGGGGAAGAGACAAACGACATTTCAAGGCCATGAAAAACTAAAAAACCAGTAGCGGTCCAAAAACTACATGTTTGCAGTTAGGCCAAAAGAAAACAGACATAAAACACAATATCTGCTGAAAATAATCAGAATTTAGCGTTTTGGTCAAATATTTTAGTCCTTTTAGGATTGGGCATTTATCCAATCGTTTATTGCGACACATTCTAGACATGATAACGTTTTTTATTAATTGTCTAAACAAATAAATTTGAATTTGGGTGAATATTGAGTCTTTTTAAATATTTTTTTCCTTCTTATTTTTCTTCCTTTCATTCATTTTTTTTCCTTGAGGCATTGGCAAATACAGAGAATATGATTAAAAGTGGTTACTGCAGGATGTTTAATGATAGAAATCAAACTTTTTTATATAAATGTTGTCCTGAAGGAGCCTATTTTAAAACGGTCCATTATTTCCAGAGTGTTTCTGATCGTGGCGCCATGATTGCAGGTATAAAACAACCTAAGAACTACGAGAATGCATCAATGAGGAGCTTTTTTATTTGTTTAATCTTTATAACGGTAGCACAGCCCTAAGAGGACACATTATATTCAGCCTCACAAAAACTTAAAGGTTTGGAAAGATTCCAGAACTGAATCTCTCAGAAACTCCATGATGAACATCTGAACAGGATCTAAGTCAAAGGAAGGAGGAACAAAAAGCTTATAGAAGATCAGGCGCACACAGAGGTGGTTATGAACTAACTCACCCAGTCCTCCTCTACTGCTCCCACAGCAAACGGGTCCGACGCCGTCCCATCCGGATCGGGACCGGTCCTGGTCTCGTTGTAGAACTCCTGCAGGGCAGCCAGAGTGTGGGCGGACAGTGTGGGAACGTCGTCATCGCTGTCGCTCATGGCTGCCGGGGCAAAGGACGATGATGAAGATGAGCAGCTGGGTAGAAATCCTCTGCTAAGGTCAGAGAGAGGAGATCCTGAAACAGGCCTGAGAGGAAGAAAACATCTCAGGATGTTTAGAATCTATAATCTAAGTTAAAGGATACAGGAAACGACACAAGGAAAAGGAAAAGACAAGGAAGCCTCCTGAAAAAAATCCACCTCGGTGAGACTGTGTCCGCTGATCAAGGTGTTTATTTTTCTGTTATTATACTGAGGATTGGCCTCACATAATTTGCTCCAAACATTAACTGTTTGCTCTGAGAGCCAAGCCTTAACTGTAGTTAAAAACCTTTAGCTAATCCAAAATGCTGCAGCCAGAGTTCTGATGAAAATTAAAAAGAGAGATCATATCTCTCCTAGAGATCATTCTCTCTCTATTCTCCTATTATATTGTTTCCTAGACGGGCCGCCTGTGGAGCTGGTTTACAGTTGCCTTTTGAATCTCTGCTTCTTTCTGTATATTTGTTTCTGTCTCCTTGAACCCCAGTTGGCCTCAGCAGATGGCCACTGAGTCTGGTTCTCTTGAGGTTTCTTCCTGTTAAAAGGGAGTTTTTCCTCTCCACTGTCGCTACAAGCATGCTTAGTGTGAGGGATTGCCTTCGAGTCAATGAGTTGGTGCAATGAACTGGTTTTCCTTAGATAGAAAACTTTGAACTGATCTGACTGGATGATCTGGTTGAATTGTCTCTGCAAAGTTCCTTGAGACGACATGTGTTGTAAATTGGCGCTATATAAATAAAAAAAATTGAAATAAACGGTTCATGAACTCGAGACTCATAAAGTGAAATCTGATGTTTCCATGAACACCAGGTGTTCCTCTGCTGTTTAGAACCAAATAAGAAAAAGATGTAGATCTTTGGAAAGAAGATTAAATAAAAACAAAAAACAGATTCAAACCCATTAAATGAGCCTAAGATTAGAGAAAGTTAAATTTCTGTTTCTTATCCTTTGCCTCTAATTGGTACTTGCTGTTCTTGTCTCCTCACAGAAAATGTTTTCATTTTTTCTTTTGGTTTACGGAGCACTGAATAATCTGAGGCAAACTGATTCAGAGGTGGTTTATTAAACATGAAGTATGTTTTCCTCTGAAGTCACCAGTAAGTCTAAGTTCACAGGACCAGAGCTAAACAAGATAAAGGTTCCATTCAATCCCTGTTCTTCTCTCCTCTGAAACATCTTCCTAAAGAAACCTGATCAGCTTCCTTTTTAAATCACTGTGGACATTTACTGCAGTTTCTGGCTAAAAGGTGTCACTAATAATCAATCAGCCTGATCACTGAGTGACAGTAGATCCGCATCTTTATGCAGAGTATTTGAAAGAAAACAAATTGGGTTAATTTTCATATTTTATTCCAGAATTGTGTTTTAATATTCCTAATGAGTTTAAACAATTAAAAAGGCAGTAACCTTCAAAATAAAAGCATGTTGGTCTGTAAATAATTTCAATAAAACAAATGATCCGCAGCTCACAATAAAAATATTAGTTTCGTTGGGTTAATATTTAAAAGGAACTAAATAAAATATGAAATTTATATTTCCTTTCCTCACAAACTTTCTAGTTACCCCGGTGATGTTTGAATGTCCTGATCCTCTGACCGCAGTGATTATTGCGATCCTGGCCAAAGGCGCTGAATATAAAGTTAAAAACGGTGACATCTGACCTCATTCATCTCATAGAAACATACCTGATTAAAACCACCTCTTCTACTCCCGCTGTTCTGTTATTAACACGTGAAAAAGTCGCCGGAAGATGACGTAGTTCAAAACTACGGCTACCGCAGAGGGTCAATTCAGTCGTTCTTTGCTTTCGGAGAACCTGTCAAGTTTGGGATTTGAAAATAAGGACATTTGAAGACATCTAAAGCGAACCATCCTACTATCCCAGTCAAGCTCCAGTATCCGTTATATTTTAAGACATTTGCACAAGAAACCTGATAGAAATACTTTCAACCAACTGCAAACTATAAAAATGTGATCAGATTTTAGACCTGGGATTAATCCTTCAGGGAAATTCAGTAGCTCATATAGAGTACAAAGAGTTAAAGCAAGATGCCATTAAAGATAAAAATACAACAGACAATATAAAAAGAGTGTATTTAGCAAAAAACGGCATAAAAAACAAAGTAGTTGTAATGTCCTGGAATATATTTCCCTTATGAAAAAAAACACATCTGCACAGTAGAGAGCTAAAGGAAAACCACAGTAATTAACTTGAGTTATTGCATTGCACTGCAGAGATGTACTGACCTTATAAATATGTAAAAAAAATACAGACTACACAGTAGTTGGCATGTGTTATTGCACAGAGAGAGAAGAATATTGCACATGAGTGACAATAGGTAATATTTTGCATAAGATGTCCAGGTGGGGGGTCCCTCTTCTTATCCCCTCCTCATCCTTCCCCCAGGGTGAGGAGTTGTACAGCTGATGGTTGGAGAACAAAGGAGTTCAGCAATCTGTTGGTCCTGCATTTGGACAGCAGCAGCAATCTCCTACTGATCAGGCTCCTCAGTGATGCAGACAGTGTGCAGAGGGTGGCTGGCATTGTTCGAAATGTTCAGCAGTCATCTTTCGCTTTTCAGTACTAGTGACTGTTTCGTTTGGAGAGATAAAATCTTACATTTTATCAGGGGTGCAACTGCACACTTTCTAAGGGGTATGCAGATCCCCCCTCCTATCCCCACCTTACATCTTCACCACTGAGTAATATTGTCAAACTACCATTATTTAATAGTTTTGAATAAATTACACATATCGGTAATGTTTTTCCAGTATATTTATCAAGTATGGCTGTTTCTACACTCTGCTTCGTCTCCTTATTCCTCCTCAACATTAGCTTAGTTAAACATAGAAGCCATCCTGGTTTCAGAATGACGACATCAAGCAGCTTAGGAAGACTGGTCCACATGGAAATGATTAAGACACATTTCTTGGCTTACTTGTTTTAAGTTGCATAAATCAAAGCCGTACTTTATAGGCTCCAAAAACAAATGAAACGTGGAACTTTAGTTTTTACATATGGTGTCATATTAGGCGAGTACATTTTGAATACTAAAAAAAATTAGAGAGGACATTAGAGGCAAATGATACTCAGAATTTACTGAGATACCTTCTAATTTTTAAAAATTTAATTCAAGGTTTTTCCCCTATTATTATATAATGAAGTTAAAGAACAATAATCTCTTTTAGACATCTCAGAACTTATTAAACATGCTTTATGAGTCCTAAAATAATATATTTAACCTGTGTCAATACTTCAAAAATAAAAAATAAGAATCTAGAAGGAAATAACTATATAAATGCTATTCCTGCATCAGAAAAAAAAAATCAATCTGCTGATTAAAGGAAAGGATTTTTTTCCCCCTGTAATTTATTACTCCATCTTAAATTTGACCTGTAATTAATTACCATCTGTCATAATTGGCTGTCCAATAAAATAACATCAAACAACTTCATATTTTTTGGAATCATCATATTCTATATACTGAACAGTAAACTTACAGTACTTGCAAGACTACAGTAGTTTAACCCAACTTTTCTATATGAACACCCGCCATACAGAAGCTCAAGCTGCTAAACTTAATTTACCTGTCGTCTTTTAACCATCATCACCGTGGGAACAGCTTTCTCCTCCGTCATTCTGATAGCTTCCTTGTATGAGTCCATCTTAATCTGCAACCATTTATACAACAGAGGTGGATAAAAAAAATACACCAAACACTGGGGGAAAAAAAAATAAAACTACTAGAGACCAGAAGGTTTAATACAACAACTTTATGTACACTTTTACACTTCATTAACAAAAACAGCCATCTACAATAACAGAGATAGTGCTCTTAGGGAGGAGGATTCTGTCTCCGACATAATGCTTCCACAAGTGGCTCTGCTCCTTTTTATTTGGTAAGTTATTGCTGTCCTTCGCTTCCAACAGTCTCTGCTATAATCCAGTGTTTGAGGAGTCGTCCCGTGGATGTGCTGCTGTAGAAAAATAAGCTGCTCCCACAGAGCAGGCAGATGGGCCCAGACAGGTCGCCTTTAATCCAAATAGAAAAAAAACAAACAAACTACCAAACCGCTAAGGTCAAGATGGCGGAAGTTGCTCCCTCTTAAGTTGAACTCCTACTTGCCGTCTCTACTGGCATATAAAAACATTTCAGTCATCTTTATTTATTTAAATGAACATTTCCAAGGTTTCCTGGCTAAAAACGTCGTACATTTATAGGTTTACTGTATATATATATATCCATATTTATATATACACACAGCTTCTTTATTTTGGTTTCTCTGTGGTCGCCATCAAACAAACGCTCCCTTGTGCTGCGTCGTTCAGCAACCTCAAAGACGGCCGGGGCTGGCCGCACACCCGTTGTCCTGGCAACGCCTGTTGTGCATGCATGTCAGAGTGGAAGTGTTGTACTCTTGGCAGAAGGTAGGCACCGTCTTTATAGTTTGACTTTATGTATGACAGGATCCATTCATACGCACGATGGACAAGCAAGAAAACCAAAGGCACTCTGGGAAGGACTGGGCGGGGTCTGATTAATGGCGTCAGGTCTCAGCCTTAGTGCGCGTCTGTGTTTACATTCCAGAAGCCTTTAAATAGGAGAACGCCAGCCTCATCTCCGAGGTGGCCGTCGCTGCTAACCCGCCACCGTCTGCGCTGCAGTCCGGTTTTAACACATCACTTCAACGACTCATGAGGCGCCGTGACTTTAATGTGCGAAGGAGGCGGGCGAAAACGATTAAGAAGAAATCCCAGGCAGAAAATAAAAAAAGGGTAAACATTTACTGGGAGATGATCCCAGGAGGATTAGAGCCTCCAACCGTCTGTCGGTCGTAGCTCTATGGTGTGATGCAGAGAAGGGGGCGGGGCACAGATGGCGTCTATGATTGGTTGCTTTTTTTCCCCAGAATAATCGCGTACTCAGGCCCATGCTGGTTCTTAGTGGTTACTTTACGCAGAGGAGGCCGCCCACGTTGGCCACAAACTCCTCCAGGCTCTTCAGGAAGGCCACCTTCTGCTTGCGGTCCATGGTGGGCGGCGTGCTGCTGGCCGTCAGCTTGTTGAAGGCGTCGGCCAGCCGCTGGTAGATGATGGCGTCTCTCTGAGAGGACAGCAGCGTCTCCACCAGCTCAGAGTACTCCGCCTGAAAGACGAGGGTCAGATGAAATGATAGGGAAGCCGTTACTCTTTGGAAAGCAGAAATATATCAGAACAGAGCAGCGTTAGGGGGTTGGACCTCATTGATCAGTTTCCTAAACCAGCTTTGCTTCATATTCTCCATAATGGATGGATCCCATCTCTAAATCTGTGATTTTCACACCGTCTATCTAGTAAAGCATTCATTTATGAAGTGAAATGTTTAAAAAAATTAAAAAAAACCTCAAAACTAAACCCTAATATATCATCCTTTTTTAACAAACCAGATTTAAGTCTTATGTTTCTTTTTTTAAATGTTTTAATAAACTCTTGGAATCTGAAGCTGATTGGTTAGAAGTTTTATAAATTTATGTTGGAATATAATCAGTTTTTTTTACTTTATGTTAGTTTAAAAAAGTAATCAGTCTTGATTACAATGAAACAGTAACTTAGTTACTGCAGAGTAGTCTTGTTGATCCTAAATGTTGAAGAATCTAACTTTATTTTTTGGAACTTTAAATTTAATTGCAACTGAAATTATGAAAGATAAAATGTTTATAAATAATGAATTAATTCAATTATTCTGCTATACAGTTCTGTAGATGTGATCATGTTTTTTGTTTGTTATAAAATAAAGCAAATAGATGTTTTATAACTTTATATTTTTACCTTTAACAGGCTATAACTTGTTTTTCTTTAAGTTTTTAAAACCTGGAAGTTCATTAAGGGTTTGTTGACTCCCATCCTCTATATGTGTCTGTTAGAGCTAGCCTGATAAACCAGACTAAATGTGAGATTAAATGTGTAATTTAGTCTGGCCCCCTATGAATGAGTCATTGGAAGATTGTTGATGACAACAACCCGTGTTTTTCAAACCATGTCTGTGCCTACTGGCCAACGCTCTGACCAATGAGCTCAACTGACTGTGACGTAGTTAGTGCGACAGAAAGCTGATGGGGGAGTGTAAACAAACAGCCTGTCGGTAAAACGGTGAATACGTCCTTCTTAAAAATTAATGAGCGTAGAGCCTCTTCCTGCTAGTCTAATCCTTCCAAAACTGATTCCAAAGCTGAGTCGAACAAGAACTGTTCAATAGTTGTTCCCATCCTCATTGTTGTGCTTTCTCCAGCGTCGTGCAGCTTTGTCATCACGCCCTCAAAACACTGGCTGCTTTGCATCCAAAAATTCAAAATGCATCTCTGCGTTGTGATTGGCCCGCCAGTTCTGGGGCGTGGGGCATTGATCAAAGCTAGACCACTCGCAGGCAAAAATGATTTTAGCGGCTGGCGGGTGGGGCTAGTTTACTAGGCTATGTTAGAGTCGCACAAAGGAGACATGAACCTGGAACTAATAAAAATAATTATTGAACTTTATTGATCATCTCGCATTGGAGATATTTACCTCTGCATCTAAGGGTCTTGCTCAGGGACCCAGAGTTTTAAAATCACAACCTCTCTGCCCTAACCACTAGGCCGCCACTCTCCTTAATTAACCTCTTTGTTCCCTCAACCTGAACCTGAACTCAAACTTAGACCTTATTGTTGGTAAAAAAAAAAAAAAAACACAAACAAGTGAGAACCAGCAAATTGTTCTCACTTTGGTACAAAAAGTCCTGACTTT